AGAGTGAGGGTTTAATAGGGAAATGGAAGCCTTGGCCCAGTGTTCTCCTTCCCAGCCCACAAAGAAGGAACAGTACAGTGTGTCCTGGGCCCACAGCAAGGCTGTGCCTGGTGTAAATCAGCCTTTGGTGCTGTCAGAGGGGCCGGGTCCTTGGCCAGCACTGAGGGCAGTGCAGCTTGCTGAGTTTACAGCAGTGAATTTCCCCTGCTGAGCACTGGGCTATGACAGTGTCTGAGGGTGTTTTGGAGGCTGCTGATCAGCAGATCCAAAAATCCAATAGAGTCCTTGCAGTGATTAGGAGAGGAAGATAAACATGTGTGTGTGAGCAGGAGAGAGAGGAGGGAGGGAGACATCTCGTTAGCACAGGTTGAATTGAGCAAATCCTGTCCCTTCCAGGGGCTTGGGATGGGGTGAGGACAAGCAAGGTCTTGGTGATGAGAAGAGCCCCTGACAGGTTTCCATCCTGCAGGGAGTGATCACTGTCTCCCTCCTTCCAGGGTGAGCCGGGTTATTAAAAATGTGATAAGAATCGAGTCGGGGAGCGAGGCTGTGCTCACACAAATGGGATGCAGAGCAGTATCAGCAGCTCAATCAATACAGCTGGAAGGAGCTCAATAGCTGATGCAGGGAGTGCTGAATAGCAAACTGGGCACTGCGGGGGGAGCAATTAGAGGAGCCACTCGCTGGAGTGAGACAGCGGCGTGGCAGTGCAGGGGAGGCAGCTCCTCACTCTGAGACACATCTGCTTCCCAGGCAGGTGTGACACTGGTATTCCAGGCACAAGAATTCCCAGATATAGATGGGATAGATGGGAAACTTTGGTTTTAATTCTTTCCTATAGAAAACAGCATAATTATTTGAAGAAGTAACGTTTTTTTAAAAGAAAAAAAAAAACATCTTTAATGAAGAATTGTATTTCTGTATTTTTATCAGACCTCAGCTTAATGTCTGTGTTTCAAAACTCTTATGCCATCACCACCTTTATGTGCTAGTTAGGCCTTATCCTGCTATGACAGAGCAAATCCTTGTGAAAGGCCTTGTAAATCTGGTTTAACTCACAGCCAGCGACGACACCAAATCCAAGCTGATGGCTCTAAACCCGTGAACTGCTGAGCTTGGCCCTGTGGCTTTTATTAGCCATGTTCTCCCAGTGATCTGAGTGTTGGGGTCACTCCACACACAGGTTTTGTCTCCTGCTGTGAAGTGAGAGTGCAGGTCGAGTGCTTGCTGAAGCACGGGAGTGACTTCATCCTCTAATAACTCCTCCAGCATTTTCTCCCAGGGAAGCCCTTTGTATTCAATTAGCTAATGTGTGCCTAGCACTTGGAAAATATAGAGTGCCATAGAATTGCTAAGTGTTGTTATTTAACAGCACATATTTAGGTGGTTGCAGCCCTGTAGTAGTAGAAGTCAGAGCGTCTACGCTGTAATTGCCTGGTGCTGCTGCCGAATTTGCTGTGATTTGAGCAAAACCTGGGGATTTTTCCTCTGTAAAAGTTCATTAATTTTGGCTGCTGGCCCTCTGGGGCTATTTTTCCTGAGACCTCTTGAAGCAGAACGTTGACTTTTGGTGGGTGTTTTAAAAAAAAAAGAGTGAAAAGAGGGGGAAGAATTTGGGATTTGTGTCCCTGGAATTCAGCTTGGCATCACTTCTAGTGGTCTTCTCTGTGCTTCAGGCTGGACTGAGGTGGAGGGTGAAGTGTTGGTCAACTACTGCAATTGCTGCAGTGTAGGAGGAAGGAGGGCAAATAATTGGTAATGGAATAGAGATAATAAGGAAGATGCTATTTGCACCCACCTCTTTGATTCACATCCTCTCGTGCCCACCTGCCATTGCCTGAAAGCCTGTGGTTACCAAGCTGTATTTGCACAGGTGGAGGAGGCTTGGAGTCCCCTTTTAAACAGAATGTGGGTTATTTTCCTAATGGCTCCTTGCTCTGATTGCATTGGGAAGTTATCTTCTAGCCTGCAAAAGCACCAGTGTAGGAATTAGGTCCCTCAGCTCTGTCTAGCAGCTGAGGCAGGGTGGTAGCTTAGGCAAAAGTCAGTTTTACTCTGTCTCAGTGAGAAATCCTTGGATCTCCATCTGAAAATACCCCTGAGATCGGGGTTTTCCACCCTTGTCCTGCCCGTGTTTGCCTCCTGCCATGGGAAAGCAGCTGAGAGGTTGCAGGCCTTGAATGGCAAATGAGTTTGTGTTTGCAAAACGTGGGTTTGGAAATGTCAAGCGTGGTGAATGAGTGTGTAAAAAGGGAAAAAAAAAGAAAACAAAAACAAAAACCACCAAAAACCCAGACAGGGACAGAAGCTGAGCTGAGTATCTGGATGCTCTCACCCCTCTGCCCTCCTTGCAAAGCCTGACCTTACCAAATCTCTCTTATCCCACTGCAAATGAAGTGTGTCCCCCAAGGGTGGTTTATCTCCATCTCATTGCTTAGGCAGCTCACGGCTCATTTCCCCCTGACCTGGGTCTGCAGAGTGGTTTTGTGAATATCTGGTGGAAAAAACGTTTAAAGGCAAGAAAAAGATTGGAGCTGGAGCAGAGGGAAGGGGCAGGGAGCAGTGGAAGGCAAAGGGTTGAGTGCAGGCCATGCCATCCCCCTGCCTTACAGAGGTGCTGCTTTATGGACAGGACAGCCACAGGAGTGGGGTTTTCTGCAGCTGGAGGCTTGCCTGGAAAAAGATGGATGTGGGTGGGGGAGTGCTGGCTGTGGAAAAAGACCAAACCAGCCACTGCTAATGAGAGCTGGGAAAAGCTGCTGCTCACATTTGAACCGGAGCAAATTGGTGTCTCTAGGGGGGAGCGTGTCGGGGTCTGTCTGCGGTTGCTGTGCAGGCAGCGAGCCCTGGCAGCTACCTCCAGCCCCGGGGAACTTCCCCAAGGAAATGGGGCTGATGCAGGTGGAGATCCCTCCAAAAACTCTGCCAGGAGTGGCCACGGCACTGGGAGCAGTCAGAGCTGTGGGTTCAGCTGCGTGGCTGGAGCAAATCTCACCCCTGCCTCGGCTTCCCTGGGTGAAGTGAGACCAGAGGGGCTCATTCCCTCACCATTAGTTGCCAATTAAGGAGCAGAGCACAGCAAACCTGCAGCCTCAAAAGCTTAGGAATGTTTTCAGGGGAGAAGAGGCACAATGGATAAATGCAATGAGAGGATGCTGGGGTGGTCTGGCTTGAGAACGAAGCCTTGGACTGTGTGGCTGTTCTGGTGCAAAACATCCCATTTTCCTTCTGTGTGTACAGCCAAGCCAGGAGGGCAGTCAGGCAGCTGTTTGCCTCGTGCCCTGCACAATTTGCCTCCCAGCTCTGGCTGCAGGGAGAGATGGTATTTTTCCAGGGGGCTCAGCACATCTCCTGCTGCTCCGTTTGCATCCAGCATCTCCTCAGGCCCAGCTCCTCATTAGCCACCTGCCCTCGTTGCACAGGCTGACAGGATGCCGTGGGTAAATGGATAACCTGTCAGGGAGGCAGCAGGATAATATCATTCAAATGAATCAATAGTTCACAGGCAATTTCATGTTACCCAACGCTAATGTGGTCGTGTCCAAAACGCACTTAATCCTGTGTCTGATCACATCCCCGTGGGAGTTTGCCTGGGCTGGAATAGTCTTGTAAGTCCATGTTTTGGAGATTTACAGACACTGTTCCTGCGTGCCTGGGAACGCAGCAAAGATTAAAAAATGGCCTGGCTTGCTGAAAATCTCGTACTCCACAGAGCCCAGAGACGTCTGTGCTAGTGATGGAGGAGAATGGGCATCCAGCAGTTCCTGAAACTATTATTACTCCCACCTTCCTGCTCCATTTTAGCAATTAGCAAAAGAGAAATTAGTGAGGAAGGGGCCATTATTTCCTGCTAATAGGACAAGAAGGGTTGGACCCTTCTCCAGGAATCTGTCGTGTAACTGCTTCCACTGATGTGAGGAGCAAAGGAGGGCTTTCCCTTTTTTTCCTGTAATTTTTTATAATCTGCAGTCATTTTTAGGCATTTGACCACTCTGCTTTTTAGAATTGTGAGGGGACACTCCCAACTCCAAACCCCACAGTGGAAGCACCTTCCCACCCTCCCCAGGGCATCAGGGTGTCCCACGAGTGGCATCTCCTCCTGGTTCCTGGTGGCACTGCAAGATTGGGTTGTTAGGAATTAGGTAGGTCAGGGTTAGGTTCCTCCTCTCTCTCCTGTGGGAAGGAACTGGTTTAAATTTAGCAGTTTAAGCTCGGTGTCACCAAACTGGTCGTGGTGGTGGAGCGGCTTCACTCAGCAGATGATGTTTGTCACCCAGGCTGGGGTCCAGTTCAGAGGAAATTCAGAAGAATAAAGAAAGGAGGTTGGTTTCTCTCCAGATATGGGTCTCCACAAGTAGCCTTGGTAGCCTGGGGATCCCTCCTGCCCTGGGTTTGGATGGAGAACCATTGCTGGTGTCCTCCCACCGCCTGGGGCTCTCAGGCACAGCAGTGTTTTCAAAGTGACCACAGCAGGGATCTGTTTTTTTGGGAGTGCCTTGGAGAGAGAGAGAGAGAGAGCAGTGCTTGGGAAATATAAATCTCTGTGTGCTCTGGACCTCCCACAACAGAGCTGACCTTCTCTGGGCTGTTGGAGCAGGTTACTGGCTTCATCTGAAATACATCATCCACCTCCCTGCCTGGGCTGTGACCTCGGTGTCGCAGGGAACTCCTGCCAGGAGGGATGGTTTATAACTGCAGAAGGAACACCACGCTCAGGTGGGGTTGGCAGGAACCACAGCTCAGGAATGGAAGCTTTCCAGAACCCTTTCTGCAGGGTTTGGGGGTTTTTTTGGTGCCATTTGGCCAATATAACCGTGGACTTGGCTGACAAATCCTGTTTAGCACCTAGACCTTCCTCACCAACAAGTGGGTGGGTTTCATCCCCGATATGAGGTCTCATCACTCCACAGTCCCATCTTCCCTCCAAGGCTTGAGTGGTTTTGAAGCTCTCAGTGCCTGTTTTCTCCTCTAATCCCACCTTCTGCTTTGTGCTGCTTTAGGAGTTTTCCCTCCAGCGCCTGGACAGCCTGTTGGACGACAGAGTCAACATCCTGGGATTTTCCATTTTCAACCAGTCTCATGCCTTCTTCCAAGAGTTTGTCCAGAGCCTCAACCAGTCCTGGCAGGAGAACTGTGATCACGCTCCCTTCACTGGGCCAGCAGTAAGTAAAATTCCTTCCCATCACCCCCAGAGCCTCCCTGGGCTGGAAACAGTTATAAATCAACAGGAAAAACCTTGTGAGAGGAACTTCAGGATGGTCCTGAGCAGAGCCTGGCAATGCAGAGGTAGAAGCTCTGGTGTCAAAGGGCACATTTTTTAATTATTAAATTTAATAATATTGCTGCACCTTGGATTGGCTTTTGTGGGGAGAGGAATGGGAAGGATGAGCCAGACAGAGCATTTTAGCTAAGTAGGTAGGAGAGGAATTTGGGTATCAAGCTGTGATTTCCAGAGGAGAATTTGATTTGGTGAATACTAAAGTGATCATGAAAGTCAGAGGCTGCCCAAAGGGGCCTTGGGGTGCAGAGCTTTAGAGGGCTTCTCTGTGCTTGAGCTGGTGTAGAGCTCTAAATTCCAGCCTAATCTTAATTTGGACTGTGTTTGCTGTGAGTGCAGGGGATGATGCAGCTCTGATTCAGTGTTTCCCTTGTGAAATTTGTCCCTGTGTGTTTTACTTCCAGTAAAGAATGGCTCGTGGCAGAGGGACTGGGAATGCAGATGGCACAGAAAGGGCTGGGCTGAGGCAGATGCCAAAAGGCTGTGTTGTGTTCCACGCTCCAACATCTCCCTGATGAATGTGCAGATCAGGGCTGAAGTCTTCCCTAGGGATTCTCCCCAACTGGGAAGGTTTGCAGAGCAGATTTGCCACATCAGGGGTGCCATGCCTGGAGCTGGGGGAGGGGAGAGAAAGAAAATACCATCAGTGGAACCCTTTTGCTTGTTTTTTAATGAGCTCAGAGTCCCCTTGACGAGCTGAGGCAGCTCTCAAAACCTTATTGTCACCACAAAGTGATCCTTAACAGACAAAATAAGGAGTTTTCTGCCCTTATTATTTTTTTCTGCCCTGTTGGAGGTGCCTGGGACCATTCTGATCTCACTCCTCCCCGTTCCAGTCACTTACTACCTGCCTTGCTGAATCTCCATGGGATTGCTACCAGGAAACTTCCTATTTGGATGACAGTTCAGAGGCATTAAAAACAAATTTCCCTCTAACAGTACAAGCAGAAGTCAGTAGGAACAGGAGTGCAGCAGGTGTGATGGGAAATTAAAATTCTCATTGGAACCTCTCACCCTGTGCTGTCCTGAGCAACCAGCAAAATCTGCAGGTGGGAAGGATGCAGGATTATACCTGGAATTCTTCAAACTGCCGTGCCCCAGGTGATGGAAAAAGGGCTTTCCCCTGGGTGGGGAAGTTCCAGAGCAGAGCTGAAATACTCCCAGGCAGGGCATGTGTTTCCTTTCCCTTGTCTGTGAGGGAAATTCTGCCAGGCAGTGGCAGAAATCTGGCAGGTCTCATCTCCCAGGGAACATCCCTCTGTGCTAGAACTTCCCCTTGTAGTCCTGGGAAGGAGTTGTCTCATGGAATAGCTCGTCCTGAAGAGGGAGAAGGAAGCTCAACAGCTGGAAGTGACAGGAGGGAGGTTTCCTGCTTGCTGCAAAATCACAGGGCTTTCTTCTAGAGCTGAGGGAGCATCTGACAAAGGAGGAGGGAGCTGCCTGCTCTAATGCCATTCTCATTAATCACATTGCAAAGAAAAGGGAATCAGAGAAAAATCATTCAAATTACAGATGGCTAGATTTGGTAATTAGAATTTAGGCTAAAACAGATGTTTGTAATTAAGTGTTTATGTCATTGAATAAAATCCAGATTGTAAAGTCTGTTTCACAGGGTTTTTAACGGCTTTAATTCTCCGTGTTACGTTTTTTGGGGGGCAAAGATACAGATGCTGATGTTTGAGGAAGAAAAGGGGAAAAGAAAAAACCCACGTGGCACAACCCAAAGTAACCAAACCTGTGCAGTATTTCCCTGGAGGGCAGCTTGCCTTTAAACATGCCCTTTACATGGGAGATTAAAAAAAAAAAAAAGGGTTATTCTACTTGACTGCTGTTAAGTTTTTAGAAGGGGCAGGCCTGTGGTTGGGAGGAAGATGAGTGCTGCTGCACTCCCAGCACCCTGCAATTGGGGATGGATTTCCTCCACACAGCTGCATCCCAGATTTCCTTGCTGTGTTGAATGTGATCTGTTTTATCTGAGTGAAGAGTGGCAGAATGACTTCCTTCCTTCCCTACCACAAGGACTTGATCCTGTGTATCACCCTGCCCTCCCCAGTTCCCTAAATTCCTTGAAATTATAAGGGGGCTGCCAGAAATCCTGACAACTTTTTCAGAGCTAAGGAGTAAAAACATCCCAGCCAGTCGTGTCAAATGCTTCACTGAGATCTACAAGTCTCTTGCTCACCAGATAATAAGAGATCATTAACTGCTCAGGGAAAATGGAAATGGGAACCCAGCAGGAGACAGTTAAAAATGCTGGGCCAATATTCTGATTTGGTACGAAATGGTGAAGCTCTGGGGTCACAGGGGTTGTGTTTGGTCTCATTACAGTTCCATTTGTCCAACTGGTGGTGTTAATCTGGCTCCTGATTCAGGGAAGTAATTGCTGATTGTGGGTGACATCCTGTGACCTGAGAGGGATTAAGTTCCCAGTTAAAATTATGTGTGTGCTAAAGAGCTTCATGGAGCAGGGGCTGGGGACAGGACAGGCTGGAGAGGCCCTGTTAGGAAGAAATAAAGGCAGGGAGAAGGATATATCATCTCCTTTAAGGATCTCTGGAAAATGCTTCCCAGGAGGGGAATGTTTAGATCAAGCTTAGCAAAAACAAAACCTCCCAGCTCTGGAGCCAGGCAGGGCTCGTTGTTAGCAGAGATAACTCCACATGACCAAAGGTGCTGCCTGTTTCGTGGGAGGCAGGTGAGCTGCAAGACTGGCAGGTGCCAGTCAAGGTGCCCAGTGCTCCCTGGAGAAACCTGGATGGTGTTTGTGTAACACTGATTAAACTGGCAAGTGCAGGAGGAATGGGACAGAGCAAATGGGATCAGGGCTGGAGAAGAGAGAGGTCTCCAGAGCTGGTGGTTGGGGTTTTGCTGGCATTAGGCTGGAATCCTGCCTTTTAACTCGTGCTGGCTTGTAGGTTTTAAGGTTTTTGTGCTGCTTGTTAAGTGTCTAATCCCAGCCCGTCGTGGTCAATGAGGTCTTACCACCAATCTCAGGAAGTTCAAGCAGGGTTAACTCTGGCTTGCTCTGTTCCAATTAGTTAACACAGTGGAAGCCAAAGGTTTGCTGGGATGATTGAACTGGGAGAGATTGTCCCTGCAGGGCCACTGGCAGCACTGAACAAACCTAGCCAGGCTCTGGGAGGAGGAGAGGATGCAGATTCCACTGCAGTGCTGTTAAGTCACACCCAGGGCAAGGTGGGGAAAGCAGCCCCAGGCTGGAGACTGAGCCCGTTGCCAGGAGCTGGGATGGGAAGAGGATGCTCCTGGAAGTATCCATGAGGAAAATGTAGCCTTGGTAGTAATGAGGTGCAACGGCTTAATTCCAGCAGAGTCAGGAGGTGACAGTAATTAAAAGTGAAATCTCCGTCGCAAGAGTGAACACGAGAGGGAAAATGGATGATTATTAACGGGACCAAAGGCATGGAAACAGTTGTGCTCGGGCAAGAAAACACGGTCTGTGAGCCTTGATGGACAAAGAAACCTGATGAAAGGCAAACAAAGCCAGGAGGAGAAGGAGAGGGGATGAGCTGGGTGAGCCTGGACATCCCTTCAGCAGTGCCATTACAGCAGGAGACTGGGGGGGTGTAGCTCAGCACTGGATGGTTTCTGTGGGGTCTGAAAACCAGGATTTGGCTGCTTGAGAAGCAGGTCTAGCAAAACCTCCTCTCATGTGGATCTGCCTGACAGAGAAGGACACACACACTGGTGCCTAATAATGGCTGAAGAGGTGCAGTCATCTTCCCTTCTGCGTGCAGGCACAGGGTCTCTGTTCTGCCTAGCTGCCCATTTTAGGAACTCCACAAACCTGATGCTCTCAGGAGCGTTCCCCCTGGCCAGCAGATTGGTCAGAGTCACCAAAAAAAACATCCCTTGATTAGAAAAAGTTAGTTACTTTAGGAAACTGAGGTAGAAACGAATGGGAAGGGGCAGAAACAGAGAGAAAGATGACAGGAGTGGAAGAAATTCTGAAGAACAAGGAAGCAAAAAGGGGTTGTGAATAAGGCACTGCCCTGCTTGCTGCAGGGTCCTGTAGGAGCAGTGGGGGGGCTGGATTTTTGTCCTGCTGTCTGATTTTTACCCCCCTTCCCCCCCACAGCTCTCCTCTGCCCTGCTCTTCGACGCCGTGTACGCCGTGGTGACGGCCGTGCAGGAGCTCAACCGCAGCCAGGAGATCGGGGTGAAGCCCCTGTCCTGCGGCTCTGCCCAGATCTGGCAGCACGGCACCAGCCTCATGAACTACCTGAGAATGGTGAGAGGGGGCTGAAGGGTGCTGCTGTGAGCAGAGCTCGTGCTCCCCACTGCCAGCAGCAAGAGCTGTGCTGGTTGCTGGCGGGGTTTGTGCTGTTTGAAGGCAGCACTGGGAGTGAAAAGAGAGCAGATCTAAAGGCTGGTTTGTGCCCCGCCTTGGAACGACATGAAACTCCCTGTTTTTGCTGCAGAAAAAACTGAAATTCAGTGGATTTTTTAAATTATTTTTATTTTTTTTTGCTAAAGTGTGAATGTTTCTGAGTGGTTTGAGCCCTGTTTTGAGTGAACTTGAGTTGATGTAAGATCACGCAGTACAATTGCTTGGAGCTCAGTGGCAAGATGTGAGTTCCCCTGTGGAAGGGTTTGGGCTCCTTTGAACCAAAAGTGTGGTTGCTGGAAGCAAACAAGCCTAGTTCTGGCAGGAGGACACTCTGCAGCTTCATCCTGGGGTTGGTCAGTATGATTCCATGGCCATGCAGAAGGAGCAGGTTTCTGAGTCTGTTTAGGGGGCAACTGAGACAAGGAAACTTCGAGAAACCATTTTTCCCCCCAAGGGAAAGCTCAGCCAGACCTCAGCCTTGTACCACTTCTGCCCATGAGTGTTTTAAATCTCACCCTTAGCCATTGACAACAAAATCCTTCAGCTTCCCTTAGCTCTGCCCTTGTTGCTCAGCCTTGGGGTGGGGGGGAGGTGATGAGGGGCTGTGGGGGTGGTTAGTCCAAAGCAAGGAAATTTGGGGGAGCCCTGCCCTTCGTTCTCCTCCCCCTGTTCCCCTCCAGACCCTGCAAGCAGCCAGGGTGGAGACACAAGGATTTGCAGTGCTGGGAGGGTGGCTGGGGGGGGTGATCCACCTCGCTGGGCGCTGTAACTCAGTCTCTCTTGGACAGGTAGAATTGGAAGGTCTCACCGGCCACATCGAATTCAACAGCAAAGGCCAACGCTCCAACTACGCCCTGAAAATCCTGCAGCACACCCGTGGCGGGTTCCGGCAGGTAAGAGTGCCCAAGGGTGATCTCTGTGTCCCCTGGGAGGTTGTGGCCCCAGGCTGCTGCTGTGGGGACCCAAGGGGGTTTGCAGACACCCCCCTCCCGTGCAAGGAGAGGTGCTCAGCGCGGCGGCTCCGGCCGAGCCTGGGCTGCCGAACACGGCGGGTTTCGCTTCGTCAGGAGCACGTCTGGGATAGTTTGGATGTGTCTTCGTGCATCAGGCCCCTGAGGTGGTGGTGTCAGAGCCAATCTCCGTCCTGTCACAGCAACCTTCATGTGCAGGAGGTAATTCAGGGCGGGGAGTCTGTGCCGGGTACGAGCTCACGCTCATGACCCTTTTGTTCTTAAGCTTGTTGGATGAGTTTGCTCAAAATTGTTTGGAAAAACAGGAGAATTTCCCATGAAACGGGGAAAAAGAAAAAAAAAGGGTACTATGAACCTCTCCAGACAACCTCTGTGAGGGAAAGCAAAGGGGCCAACCCCATATCAGGAGCTCCCCACCATCTCTCCCCTACTTGGCACGTGGGGGGGAAGTTCCAGATCATTTACCCCTCGGTTTATGGTTCCCCTATGACAGGTTTGCTTAGCTCAGGCTCTCATTTGCTTTTTGTCTCGGTGCTCCTGGACTCCTCCCAGCGTGGATCCTTTCTCTCCTTGTCACCCTCTTTCTGTCCAAGGGATATTTTCTGCTTTGAGCCAAGGTTAAGGTGGGGCCACGAGTGTCAGACTGGTGAGGCTGCATGACACAAGCCCAAGGAATTAAGGTTTTAGTGGTAAATCCACACTTCATTCAGGGGAAAAAAAATTAAATAGAAGTCCCAGAAAAAGAGGTTTTATCTCATATCCCTGCTGACAACTCCACTGCTGCCCTTTTCTCAGAGACTGCCACTTCTCTTGGACTTTGGCAGAGAACAAAAGCTATTGTATCTTCCCCTCACCAACAGAGCTTTTTGGCATTAGGAAATCTCCCTGGTCTGGCAGCACTGAATTTCAGCCTTGGCAAGGATGTTACCTGCCAGTTCTTACCTGTCAAGTGACAGCCTGGCTTTGATGCTGCCTTTTGCCGAGTGAGAGGGAGATCAGGATGGCATTTTCCCCACAGTGAGATCTCTGATAGCATCAATGCCCTTTTAATCCTGTCCCAAGCCCATCATCCTCTGAACAAAAGTGACAGATCCAAGCCCATCTGCGTTAATAAGGACGTGCATTCAGCTGGATCCGGGAAGAAAACGCTGCGAACCTCCCTGTGACAGCTTTGGTTTTGATGTGTTTAAATGTGGCAGGGACTTCACAGTAAAGGCTCAGGTCCTCTTGGAGCAGAGCTTCTCCCAGAGCTCCACAGAGAGCTCTGAGTGCAGCCTGATCTGCCCTGAGAATGAAGACTCAGCTCTCCCCCACAAACCTGGTCTGGCAGGAGAAAACCTTTCCTGACCTCCGCAAACGAGGAGCTTCGTGTTTCAGAGATGCCCAAGGAAAGCTGTGCTGGGATTGACCTTCCCAAATTTCCCATCAGGGTGCAGTGGTGATGTATCACTTCCAGTCACAGTAAAAAAGGTGCTGTGGAAGGCCAGGGCAGTCCCTTGGTGGTAGTGGTGGCTGTGAACCCTCTCCTGTCACAAACCCACCAGCAAATTTGTGTAAAGCTGCTCTGAATGCCTGTGGCTTTGTAAAGAAAGCTTCCCTGCCTGCACAGGGAAGGCAAAGGCCACTCTGCTGGGCCACAGGTGGTTGTTTTCTCATTGCCAGCCTGGCTTCTGGTAATAAAAAGGACTAAATAAATCATTAGAAATAATGTAATTAAGGGAAAACGGGCTGAAGAACAGGCGTTCACATCCTGGAGACAATGTTGTTCCCAAGGGCTGCATTAACTGATTTGCTCAGGCTCTTGTTTGAAACACTTCTATTCCCTCCTTAGTTTTAATCAAGCTCATGCTCTCTGCCCATTCCTCTCTTCCTCTCCTTCCCTCTTTCTCCCTCCTCCTCTCTCTGCTTCCATCCAGTGAAGCCACAGGGACTTCCAGCTCACCAGCTTTGACAGAGAGTTCACCAAATTTTGAAGCTGATCCAGCCAGCAAACAAATTAGAGGCACTTAGGCTTTCCAGCTTGCTGTTGCTTTTGGGCAAGGGGAGGCAGGGCTTTTTGACATCCAATTTTTAATATATTTATGTAACGCACCAAACGTGTCTTTTCCTGATTTAGCTTAACTAGAGGGATTTATTTATTTTTTTTTTCCCCACAGCCATATGAGAGCTGCTCCCCCCGTTCACAGGATGCTCGATAAAGCACAGGCTCATTAATGTGCTGGTGATCTATAGATCTGACAAGGGCTGAGTTTGGAAATGTCAGCTTTTTTGGGTTTTTTTGCCTTTTTTTTTTTTTTTGCCTCTCCTTGCCCCTTTGAAAAACACTGCAGCACACCCCTGTGGGTTCAGAGGAGTGCTTGGCAGCTTAGCACGAGAGGGGGATGAGGAAGGGCTGTGTTTGAGGAAGGGAAAGGGGCAGGGGGAGCTGTGGTGGGGCTGGAGCTGCCTCAGGCACACTGACCCCAGCTCTGCCTGGTCCTAAGTGAGGCAGATTAGTCTCCATTTAACTAAAGGCTGTGCTGGTGTCCTGAGACAGAGCAGTGCAGTGATGGGGCTGTTTAATTGCTATGTTGATGAGATACAGATGAGTTCCCAGTGATAGCTCTGAGACCCTCAGCAATCCTCGCTGCATCAAACCTCTTTAACTTGGAAGAGGCTAATCAGCCTCGATGGGACTTGTTCCTCCTTAGCTGTTACCCCCAGCAAGGACCCAGGGACAGATCCTGCCAAGAGCTGAGTGTCTTTTGCCCCCAGGGCCTGACAAACTCGGACATGGCACTGTCAGACCCTGTCTGGGCTCTGCCAAGCGTCATTGATGTCCAGAGGGAACATCTGGGGAGGGTTGTGTGCATGTCTCATGGTTGTTCAGGTTTTAACAGCTGCTGCTTTCAGTGCCCTGTCCTAAATTCAGTGGAGGAGAGCTTTTTCCTGCTTGCTGTGCTGGCATCAGCCTTGCAGTGCTGTCCTTCAGGAGTGCCAACCCCATGGCAGACCTGTCCTCCCAGGGCTTTCCCTCATTTGTTTGTTTTATTCTCTGTTTTCCCCCCTACCCAGGCACTCCTAAATTCCCTCTCCTTGGGGCACCTTGATGAGGGATGATTGCACTCTGCACTCCTCCCTTTCCCTGGGGGCACTGGGAAGGGCAGGTGATGGATGCAAGCTGTAGGACAGCACTTGCTAATCAGAGCCCAGAAGGTGTCTGGGTTTATTGCCCTCCCCTGCCTGTTCCAAGATCTGCATTCAGGCCTGGCTTTACCTTAATTTTAAGCTGGGAATGGGGCTGGGAAGTACCTGTGGTGCCTCTGAGGATTATGGAGAGGTCTTGCTATGTCATCTCTCCCTGCCTAGAGGGCACTGAGCAGGTGACTATATTAAAATCATTAGTTGGAGTGGTGTTTCATCATCTCACACCATGAGGAGCCTCAAAGCCTCTGCATGGAGGGGCTGCAGGGTGGAAGGAGCAGCCAGGAATGCCCCACGTGCATCCTGTCAGCTGCTGGGGGTTTCTGGGGAGTATGAGAAATCTTGAGGTGCCACTGATCCAAAAAAACCACCTTTTGCAGATCAGCTGAATTGAGGGTAGGCATCAATTGAAGGTATCAAGCTCCAACTTGCACCCAGGTGACCGTGCTGCTCTTGCTGCTCTCCTAGGACAGGTGTGACACCACTTCAGCTCCTGTGATCATTAGGAACACTCCTCCAGTTTTCAGGCTGTTTATTTCTGGCTGGGTTGTGTCTGTTTATTTTTGTGCCAGTGCCATCATTTTAGCTTCGAAAGCTGTTCTACCTCTTTGCAGTGGACCTCCTCCACCTGGTGTATTTATACAGACCAATCACATCCACTGCTAAAAAATCCCGAGTCCTAAAAACTCTGAACCCCTTGTCCAGAGCCTTAACAACAGGATGGTCTCATCCAGGTCCACGAGGGGGATTTGATTGTTTTCCAGCACATTTTGCAGATGGATATGTTTTCTGTTTTTCAGAGGCTCTTTCTATGTAGATGGAGATGATTAAAATCACCTTGACATCCATCTTGCAGGAAAGGGAGAGGCGTGAGGATCCCAGACATCCTCTGGCAGGTTGCACTTCGGAAGCAGTGAGCAGTGTGGGGAGTCAATCAGTGGCTCTGTCAGCCTGTGAGGGGGACAGTGGTGAGCTGAATCCCCCCCAGGATTTGGGGGGAAGTACCCTGGCACGTGGGGGAGTGTGGCTGTGGTGCTGTGCGAAAAGCAAGGTCAAACCCACGGCACTGTCAGAGGAGGAGGCAGGCAATTAGTCTCAGCATGTGCCAGCAGGGGAGGGACAAATTGGAGAACAGCGAGGGCTGTTAAAATTAAAGTTAATCTGTCACTAATCTCTGGTTGGGAAATCCAGGAGGGGAAAAAAAATGAGGCAATGTTTATGAGTGATGACTCTCCCTGGGAGGAAATCGCTGCTGTTCAGCAATCCCAGCGGGAGGAGAGACCTCTGTGCAGGGTTGGGGTGGATTCATCCCAGCCCATCCGTGCAGACCCTGTGCAGGCCACTTAAAGGCTGTGCTTTAAGGACCCCCCTACCTGTGAAATACCTGGCAAATCCCCCAGTTTGAGGCTGCTGTTCCCCAGCACAGGTGGGTCCTGCACTGCAGTGTCACCCTGGTGCTGTAAGTCACAACAAGCCGTCGAGAGAACAGGGTGCCCAAAATCTGCACCCATCCTGCTCCAGCACACCATCCCTGTGCCTCCATCTCCTAGTTTGCCAGGTGGCACTGGTGACGTCACCAGTGCTCCTGCTGTTAGTGGGGAGCCTCCAAGAGTTAGTGCTTCCCACACATTTGCCTTCCCTGCATGCTCCTTCTCAGGGCAGTGGTCACAGCACCAAGCCTGACAGAGCTGAAGGACTGCTTGGACAGTGCTCTCAGGAGCATGAGGGGATTCTCGAGGGTGTCCTGTGCAGGGTGAGGAGCTGGATTTGATAATCTTGTCCCTTCAGACTCAGAGTATTCCGTGTGATTCTGTGACTGTGAGTGGAAGCTGTCCTGCTTGCACTTCCCACTGCTCTGGGTCGCTGCTCCGTGTCACCTCCCGCCCGCCTCCTTGGACGTAACAAGATTACTCTGTGACGGAACAGAAATCCATTTGTTCCTGCCACCCTGACAGCCGTGGCACAGCCAGGGGATAACCTGCCTCGTGGCAGCACGGGGGAGCTGGGAGTGGATTTGTTCTGGCTCTGGAAGAGCCGTCAAGGCTCCCCTGCGCGTTGGGGTCACCTCGCTGCCACTCAGGGCCACACCACCTCACTTCAGTGTTGTCAGAGGAACAACAGTCATCCAGAGGGCTTGGACTGATGGGGACAGAGAGGAAAAACAGGAGGGAGAAGTGGTCTCAGAGGGAGCTGGCCTCCCTCAGCCACCCCTCTATCCATGAGGAAAAGCAGAGGCTCCTTTAGCCAGAGTCTAATCTGCATGCTCTGAGCTGCTGGAGGTGCTGATCTCCCTGCCCAGAGCTCTGAGGGAGGGAGATTAGGCTCTTGAAGTTAAAATTAGGTTCTGTTGAATATTCCTCCCCCTGGCTGAAGGCAGCAGGATGGATATGTTGCGTCACAGCTGAATCACAGCGTCCTCCCAAGCGCTTGGGGGACTGGTCCCTGCCACCCGTGGTGGGAATTGGGTTCTGCTGCGGTGACACTGATGCTTGGATGGGTAAATTAGAGCTGTTGGGTGTGACGAGCCTGGATCAAAGCTTGGAGGTGCTTAATTGGAGTGGTTGGCATCCATAGAGGCAGCAAGAGGAGATGAGTCACGGAGCAGCACCACTGAGGACGTGGCTTGCTTTCACCACCTGCCCCCGAGGTGGAGGGCAGAGCTTGGAGGTTTGGCTGTGTGGGTAAGACTGACCCACCTTGGTGGCATTTTGGGGGCAGCACAGAGGGCTGTTTGACCACCTCAAAGCCCCAGGGAGCTGCTGCAGGGAGGACATGTGGGAAGGACAGGTTTTTGGCACTGCAGAGCAGGTGGGTGGGGGTGCACCAGAGGGTTAAATCTCTCTGCTGACCTGTTGTGGGGGGTGCCTTGTAAAGGTAATGGAGCATTCACAGACAGGCCAGCCCGATGGCTGTCACTCACCAGAGCCATATGGCGGGTTCTGTGCCGTAACTCGCCCTGTAAATTCCCTTATTGTGCTGTTTATCCCTCCAGATTGGCCACTGGCACGTGTCTGAAGGACTCAGCATGGACAACAGGATCTTCTCCTCCAACATATCAGACAGTCTGTTCAACACCACGCTCATTGTCACCACCATCCTGGTAAGTGAGGGGGTCACCTGCAGTTCCCACTAGCTCCCAGCTCACTGGGGTGTTGATCAGCTGGAATATCCCTCCCTCTCCCTACCCCCCTGGACCCCCAGCATGAGGCACTGCAGGCTGATTTCATCCAGAACAGGCCATCAAATCTCTAATTACAGCACTGAGGACAATTCATGACAGTGTAATTAAACTCAAGTTGATGTTTCATATGGAAATGATATTTGATGAGTTCAGAAGCAGCTGGGGAGAGGGCTGGGATGGGGATACGCTGCCATTTTACATTCATCTCTGAATGATGGTCTTGTTTTTTGCATACAGCTGGTAAGTTGGAAGGGACAATTGTCCCTTCAACCCATAAAATTAAAAAAATTGGCCAAGATGGGCACAATTTTTATGAAGACATCACATTTACAAGCACCACCTTATTCAACAGGTTTCCCTTTCCAGGTACTGCCTGTCCAGTGATTTTTTTTCAATGCCTCTGGCCCTTCCTTAAAGACACCCAAAATCCTATTTCCTTGTGTCCCACAAAGTTTGTTGAGAGGGGGGGACAGGCTGGAGAGGTGGCCTTGTGCCAAGAGAAGCTGGGTGTGCACGTCCTGCTGTGGCTCAGAGCAGTCACTGGGCTGCTCTGGGCACGTCCCAGTCGGAAACAGCCCCCAGAACATGATCCCTTTTCCTGAACTGGGATAAATCTGCCGCCCAGAGAGTCCCAGTGTGGAAATTACACCCCCAGCACCAAGCTCTCCATATCAATTCTATCCATACTGGGATGGTGTGCCACTTATAATCGGGGTTGGATCTTTGAGGCCCCCTCCAACCCAGACCACCCCGTGACTCCCTGAGCTCCTGCCACCCTGGCAGTGCCCTCCCTGCTCCGTGCTGGCTAAGATGGGAATGACAGCTGCCCAGTTTCACTGCAGGAAAACCCTTACTTAATGCTGAAGTGGAACCACCAGGAGCTGGAGGGCAACGACCGCTACGAGGGCTTCTGCGTGGACATGCTGAAGGAGCTGGCAGAGATCCTGCGCTTCAACTACAAGATCCACCTCGTGGGGGACGGCGTTTACGGGGTCCCCGAGGCCAACGGCACGTGGACAGGGATGGTTGGAGAGCTCATTGCCCGGGTAAGTGGATTAACTCTGCTCTTTTTAACTCTGCCCCCTCGGGCGGGACTTGGCGAACCCTGATGATGGGTTTTTTTTAAGTGCTCCGGGAGGAGAAGGATTGAGGTGTGTGTTTGTGGAGGGGTGGTTTAGTCCATTTATGAGGCTCTGGCCATGTGTTCTCCCAGTGGCAGATGTGTTTGTTGTGGTGGTGTGACAGCAGGAGCAGGAACAGGGCCCCGAGGTGCTCTCAGTGGGTGCTCACTCTGCTGGAAAAGACACCTGAACTCTGGGATCCTGCATAAGAGCTCCTTGCAGAGTGGATGATTGTTTTCTCAGTGGAAAGATGAATGAAAGCTTGCAACAGGAAAATACACAGGGCTTGGTAGAAACTGTAAAAAAAAACCACCTCACAAAACCACACTGTTTGGGAGGGAAGCAGGTAAGGTTTACATTTCCACCCAGAAAAGTTTTGGATGATGCAATTCAGCTCCTTAACTCTGAGTTGTGTTTTTTGTTGTTGTTTTGTTGTTTGGGGTTTTTTGTTTGTTTGTTTTGTTTTGTGTTTTGTTTTTTTGTGTTGGTTTTTTTTTTTTTTTGAGAAGAAACATTTTGGGTTTGACCATAATTCTGTGTACACCTGTGCCCAGCCAGCCTGTACCCCCCTCCCTGCTCTTTGTTTTCCTCAGCAGCTAAAGGCAGCCCATCCCCAGGGTTCCTGGAGCTTAAATACAGCTCACAAAATGCTCTGAGATCCTTAGTAAAATAGGCTTAGCCAAAGCTAACAGTAAGATTGATGCTATTTAAGGCAGCTCTTCCTTACTCACTTATTTCTACCCTGTCTCATCATTACCAAAGCTGTGAGAACCCAGGGACATTTTCTCAGCTGGTGGCAAATCCTCAGTGAGGTGTATTTGTGATAATTCCACCACTGTGGAAGAGGAGATCCCGAGTCCCTCCATCATTTACGTCCTGCAGAGCAGAGGAACAAGGGCCCAAATCCATCCCCTGGGGCTCCTGCCACAGCTTTCCTCCCAGCTGTGGGAGATGAGCGGACATCAGTTCACTCTGTGATTTATTGGGTGGTATTTGGTTGAAGGTTGCGTTTTTGAGGATCTTGGAGGTCTTCTCCAACCCTGGATGATCATGGAATCATCAGCTGGAAGATGCCCACTGGCATCTCTCTGCTTCTTCCCCACCTGGCTGATGCTCGTCCCACCTTAGGAGTGTCAGCTGAGTGCCTAAGGTCAGGTGGGGCAACTCTAAGTCTAAAGGAGGGATTTTGGGATTTGCTGAGGGTCAGAGACAGGGCATGGAACAGCCTGCAGATTCTCCTGAGCTGGCTCCTGCCTCCTGGGTCACCCTTTCCCAGCGGAGCGATAATTCCCGGTGCCAGCTGAGATCCCACCTCCATCTGCTCTTTTAACAGAGCCTTCTGCACGGCTGTTTGCAGATGCCCCAGGCTATTGGCATAGTTTTCTATCCATCTTTCTCTGCCTGTGTACCTACAGGCACACACAATTACACTTGTGCATCATTCCTTTCAGGAGGGGTGAGAAGGAAGGCGCCGAGAGCAGCGTGTGATCTGTGCAGACAAAGGAAGGGAGCAGCCACCAGACTTTCAGCCTGCTAACCTTGGCAGTGCCTCTCCATTAAATGAGAGCTTCTGGAGGCTTGTTTTTTCTTTGGTGGTAGATGTTTCAACTTCATCTTCACATGGAAACCGTTTTGTTTCTTCTGCAGCTCGAGCCTTATTTAGGAGGATTTTTACTTCTGCTCCAGCAGGGCAGAGCTGGCAAAGCCTGTGAGGCTGCAGCACAAATTGGAGAAGAGAAGCAGCTTTCTCTTGCAGCTTTGTTCTTGCTGTGTCCCTTAGGGTCTTTATAGTGGTTTCAGCAAGTTTTTGATCAATCCCAGGGACTGGCACTTTGGGTCAGGTCAGCCAGGGCAGGGCTGGCTGTGTGCTTGGTGTTGTGTTCATTCAGGGCTGCTTGGGACGTGGCTTTCTGAGGGCATTGCAGTGTCCAAGGGGTTCCTCTCTGTCCTTGGCATCCCCCAGGGGAGTTTTTCCTTGCTTGCAGCCCCTTTTTCATCCCCTATCCCATGGGATCCAGCAGATCCTGTGTTAGGGGTGGATTTAACCCTTGGACACTCCTCTCCATCCAGCCTTTGGCACACAGAAGGCATCAGATTCCTCCTTCACCCAGATCAGCTGTCAGAAAAGAAGCTTTGACTCACACACACTTAATGTGCAGGCCCAAAAGGTCAGAGAATTATCCAGCTCCATGCAGTGCCTTTCCTGTAATCCCCCCGTGGCACTGAATCTCCTCAGAGCAACTCCAGGCTATATATGGGAAAAGTGTTTCATTTTATTGCTTCTAAATTAACCAGCTATTGATTTATTCTTAAGAGCTGAAAATTCCATTACAGCTAATTGTGCACCATGATATGATTGAGCAGGATGCTACATAAACATAAATTTGTGCTTGACCCAAATTTTCCAGTACATATCCTATCGACCTGCTCACAAAACAAATTGAGAGGTAAGGAAAAGGGGGACTGGGGTGGCTTGGGAGGAGCTGTAGAGACACCTCTGGCTGTGTCAGCAGGGCAGGAATCCTGCACTCTTTGGGATCAGCTGCTGGAGGTTTGGCTTGGGAGAAATCACTTGGAAGGACTCATAGAATCACAGAGTGGTCTGGGTTAGAAGGAACCTTAAATATCATTCCATTCCACCCCCTGCCATGGGCAGGGACACCTTCCACTGTCCCAGATTGCTCCAAGCCCTGGCCTTGGACACTGCCAGGGATGGGGCAGCCACAGCTTCTCTGGGAAACCTGTGCCACCCTCACAGGGAGGAATTTCTTCCCAATATCCCATCTAACCCTACTCTTTGTGAGTGTGAAGCTGTTCCCCCTTGTCCTCTCACTACAGTTCCTCCTGAAAAGCCCCTTGAGCCCATTATCTTGTGAAAGATGTCACCAACTCGGAAGGCACTGGGCTAATTTGTCCCTCTGAGCATGCAGGGCAGGCAGATTGGCTCCTCCCTGGAGGAGCAGGGCAGTAAAGCTGCTCTCCCCCATCAGCATTCCCGGCTCTGGCACAGCCTGTGGTCTCCAGCAGTTCAGCTGACACTGCACACGTGTGCTACCCACAACAAACAAACAAGGGGCAGCAGCAAATCTTCCCATCTCCTGGGTTTTTTTGGCATTAGAGCCTTGGGGGACAATTGGGCTGGAAGAATTACGTCTGGCTCCTTCCCACTGCAGTGCAGCCTCTGGCTCGCAGTCCCTGCTGCTCTTCCCTTTCTCTCCCCCTCTCCCCAGCTCATCCTCGAGCTGAAATGAATTCCCTGGCATGATACACACCAAGGAATGTATTTTCACAGCCTTCTCCTTGTCCCACCCAGCCTGCAGCTGCTGTCCTGGTAGCTCAGGGCCTCCCAGCAAGCCCTTGGTGCTCAGCTCCCTTCGTCCTCCACATGGAATTGTGTCTGTCTGGGGGATCCCTCAGCAGCACTTCCCGAATTTACCCATTGCAGGAATGCCCTGGGGCGTAGAGGGGAGGTAATGGGAGATGGTATGGTTTAGTTTGATTTGTTGGCAGGATTTGATGCTGCAGTTTTGATAAAAGACGTCCCCAAAAACCTCCCTCTGATGCAGCCTGGGTACCTCTGGCTGGCTGGGTTTTTTTTTCCAGGAGGTGACAGTCCCCTGTCCTGCTCACCTGTGGCAGGATGGATGGGGTGGAAAGGACTGGTTTGTGCTTTGTGCAGCCTCTACCAGCTGTCCAGGCTTCCTTCAGCATTGTTTAGTGTGATCTGTTGATCACCTTTGGTGATGCCAACACAGCAGATTTGTGAGTGTTTCCAGGGCAAGTGTATTTGGGTGAGGCTGGTGCTGGTGGAAAAGCACTTAAAGGAGCTTGTAATGATGAGTGAGTGACTGTGCAGAGTCATTTGGGAAGTGAGATGATGTGGAATAACGCTGGACCTTTGTTGTGTGTGTCAGTGGTTTGAGTCTGTCCCGGGTCAGTGATGATCAGAGCTCTTTTCAAAGTGAAGGAGATGAAGTTGTCCATCTCCTGGACGGGTCTGGCCTCTGGACCAGCAAACACCCAGACCTTAAAGGACTTTAAAGCTTTGGGGTGGTGGTTTCCCACCTTCCTTGCCAGTGGCCAGGTGGTGCTTTCCCTTCAGCTGCTCCAAAGACAGGGCAGGAAGGGGAAAGGAGGGAGAAGATGCTTGTAAACTGTCAGAGTCCTGCTCTCCACTCGCAGTGGGTGTGGGTGCTCGGTGAGAAGAGCTGTGTGTGGGTGGAGGGAGGGAGGGGGAGTCTGTTTGCACGCTGTCTGTGCTGGCAAGTGTGCCATGGGAGGTGGAGGAGCAAGGAGGGGTGTGGGAGTTGTTGTGCAGACACAGCCAGGGACAGGCAGAGGGGTTTGTGCAGATCTGAGGCTGACATCTGCTCTGGTTCCTGGTCATCCCACCCTGGCTTCAAGGGAGGACTGCAGCCTCTAGGGTTTCCAGGCTGTCACTTTTCACAGGGCAGAATTCCTGCATGTCCTTTTAAAACCCCCAAATCGGTGTTTGGGGGTTTTAAAAGGACATTTAAAGGCTCTACCTTTAAATGCAAGAATGTGCATCTGGGCAGACAGCCTGGGTGCTGCTCAACCTGAGATTGCTGCTGTCAGATCAGGTGGGCAGCTGGAACAGGAGCAATCAGCACACTGATCCCCTGCTAGAGCTGGACCTGTCGTGCCATGGGGGCAGATCTGCAGATGCAGAGATGCAGGTGAGCAGGATGTATCCAAACCTCCCTGCAGTGGCTGCTGCTGATGTCAGCAGGGAACCTCTGGAGATCACACTGCATCCCAACAGGTTTGCAGTGGGACAGGCACCTGGTGGCCAGGTGGGTCTGAAGGTTGAGCAGCTATTTCACCTTTCCAGGAGGCTCTTTAGGCACACAGAGAGCTTTCTGTGCTCTTGGTCCTGCTGTCAGTGCTCTGGGGGCAGCGCTGGTGGGAATGATGCTGCCACCAGCACCCAGGGGATGGAGCTCCCAAGGTGCTGTTCCAAGGGGCTCCTCCTCCTGGAGGAGATCCCAGCCCTGTCCTCCCCCTGGCTTGTTTCCCGTGAGTTTGACACAGGCACAGCCCAAAGCCTTGCACCGCTCAGGCTTCCTCGCCGTGTTTTGTCTCCGCAGCCTGACAGGGGGTGGTGAATCGCTGCGGGGCCGGAGCGGGGCTCTTCTCCCGGCTGCTATCCCATGCCGTGGGAGGCTCCGGAGGGATCCTCTCCTCCCGGGCTGACGTCAAGCCCCATTCATCACCATCAGCGCCGGGCTGAGCCCTGTCAGCGCCCGCGGAGAGGGGGCGGATGCCGCCCCTGGACTGGCAGTCCCTGCAATTTGCTCCTTAAGGCTCTTTAATTGTTGTTCCTCCGCAGGAGCCGGCTCAGCCCCCCGTGTTTAACCGGTGGCAGCCAGAGCCCGTGTGCTGATGGCGGGCAGAGCCCACGGGAACGCCAGGTTTGGTGCTGGTGTGGCAGCTTTCATCTCACACGCCCGCCCGCCCCAGCTTGGGCTGCCTCTCGCCGTGTTTAAGCGGTGCTTTGTTAAAAGAAGTGGCTGTCTCCGCTCCCAAAATGCTCTGGGTCCCTCTCTAAGCCTGTTTCATGCTGACATTTATAGCTGCCACTGTGCTGGGAGGATGAAAACCAACAAGCAGTGCTTGCCCCCTTCTTCCCCCTCTGTGCTTTTCCTCCCCTTCTCCCTTTCCCCAGAGCCCCAACGTGGACAGGGGGCAAGAAGCACAAGGCAAAAATCCATTTCTTTGCTTAGCCCATAAAATTCCCACTCCTGCCTGTGCTCAGAAGGGGGAGGTTGGCGAGTGCTGAGGTTTGCAGAGCTCCCCTGTAGCTCAGTGAATCACAAGAAGTTTTGTGAACACGGGGAAGCGAAGTTGAAAGCATGAAATGGGTGATGCTCAGGCAGAGAATTCTTTGCGTGCCATCCCCACATCAAAGTTTCTCTCTGTCAGGAATCAGCTCTTAACTTGCATGACTCTGAGCCTGCAGAGAGAGATTGAGCCTGCAGAGAGAGAAAGAGAGAGAGAGTGAAAGATAAAGCCACCAGGAGCTGGGGCTCTGCTGCACAGAAAGTTCTGGCATGGGAGAAGGAAGGTGGATCTGGGCACAGGTTGGAGCAGGTGCTGCACCTCTGATGTGGCAAAAGTACCTGAAATGACAAAGGTCCCTTCAAACTCGGGGTATTCTGTGATTCTGCGTGTTCTGGAAGGGTCTCAAAGGGTGGCAGTTGGGAGAATAATCAGAGTTTTTTATAATTACCGAGGTCACTGATGCTCCCCTGAGAAGGTGGTTGGCTGAGCTGGGTAAATCTGGGGACAGATGAGAGCTCCTCTCATCAGCACCCTTGTGTTGGCCCTTGGATGGGAGTGGAAATGTTCTCAGAGCTCTGGCATGAAATACCTTTGACAGTGGCTTATTCACCATCCCTTTAGTGTGGGGCTTTGCTGCTGGAACTGTGTTTACTTTGGAGAACTGGCAGAAGAAATCCATTGTCAGACTAAGCTGTATCTTCAGCAGGGGCTTTGCTGGGAGAGCTCTCCCCGGGACAATAGTACCTGCAAACCCTTTTAAGCAGAGACAAGAGAGGTTTAGGAAGCTTTAGGCTTTCCTTGTAGATAAAATTCTTCACATGCCACGTTGCACAGATGAACTGATCCCATTTTAGTAATCTGCTGGTGTTTACACAGGGCTCAACTGCTCACACACCACATTGTGATTATTGGTGTCTTTTAAAAAGCCTGTGGGTAAATGTCTGGCTAGGCAGAAATTCTCCTTAGCTCATAATTCATCCCAGCCTGAACCTCTTGAGAATCTGTAATAGCTGCTTGGAAACAAGTGCAAAAATCTGGCACTGAGCGTGTCCAATAAAACATTCCTGCATGGACTGTCACCTTCTCCACGACCCCCTTCACTGGGATTGAGGATCACCTTGGCTTTCTTTTCCTTCTCCTTCCTCCTGCTGCCTCCAGCACTGCTGCTCTTCCTTCTTGCAACTCCAGCCTCTCCCATCAGGACCATCATCAGGCCTGAGGGTACCTTGGCTTTTTGACCTTGTCAAATTTAGGGACAACAGGTGCAAACAGCTTTTCTTTTTCCCCCCCTTCTCTTCTTCCCCATGCATAATCACCTTCCTGCAAAGCAGTCAAACAAATGGATAAAGGAGTGGAGGTTTCATTTTTACAGAAAGCAATTACAGACCTTAAAAGAGCGAAAGTAATAAAAATAATATTTAAAATTCAAATCCCTTATCAGTATTACAAGGGTATTAACACGGGAAGGAATTATTTTTGTTTTTTTTCTCTTCCCCCTAATCTCGTCTGCTTTGCAAGTCAATCTGCAAGTTTTAATGCCAGTCCTCTGAATTTTTGGGGAAGTCTGGGGTTGGCAGGTTTGTGAACTTCATGACTCAAAGGATGTAGGTAATGATGCTGCTTTTCTTTCCTACCTGTGGCACTTGCAAGGGGCAAGGAAGGGATAGCTGTGCTCAACAGGGGCTCAGGAAGGGGGAGGTTGTATCTTCTGTAGATAAACACGATATTTATTGTTTTGATGGCTCCTGTTGTGCCAGGTTTTAAAGCCTTAGATGAATAGAAATGGCAGTCAGGCTGAGAGCAGGGGCTGCTGGTGTGTTTGCTGTTAGCACAGCGGGGTCCCCACTGTGAGTTCGGAGAGAAAAACATCCAGGTGAGGAAAGGAAAAAGGGGGAGAATGGTCTGTGGCATCTGTGAAACTCTGGAGTGTGTTTGAGCAGGGCTTGTGTGAAATCCTCCCAGGCAGAGGGACGTGCGAGCCCAGCCTGAACCATCCCAGCAAAACTCCCACGGCTTCCACAGAGGGTTTGGGATGGCCCAGAGAGGTGGGACATCCACCCTCCAGGGGCAGGTGTCCTGTGTGTGGCCCCAGGTGTGGCTCAGCTGCTTCCCCAGGCTCAGAGCTCTGACCTTCTCTGTGTATCCTCTCTCTCCAGAAAGCTGACTTGGCCGTGGCGGGGCTGACGATCACGGCGGAGCGGGAGAAGGTGATTGATTTCTCTAAGCCCTTCATGACTCTGGGAATTAGCATTCTCTACAGAGTTCATATGGTAAGAGACTTACTTTATAACCATTTATGTCCCTCCATTATTTGCATGCAAACGTGCCTGGTTGTAGAAGAAAAAATGAACGACCCATAAAAATATTTGGGTTTCTTATTTAAACGCAAATGTGCTCGACCTTTATTTCCTTCTTTTCTCTGTGTGTCAGCTTGGTGGATTCAATTCCTGCTCAAACCCCCCTACCCCTTGGCTCCTCTTCCCCATCCTCCCTGGGCACAGGATGATTTTTTGGGGGTCACAGGGTGGCTTTATTTTGGCTTTGAGCCTGCTGTGTGAGGTGTGCTCAGTGCCTTTAGCCCTGCACTGTTATAAAATCATGGAATCACAAACTGATTTGGGTTGGAAGGACCTTAAAAACCATCCAGTTCCACACCCTGCCATAGGCAGGGACACCTTCCACTAGCCCAGGTTGCTCCAAGCCCTGTCCAGCCTGGCCCAGGGGATTTATGTGTGCAAGCATGTTGTGTCCTGCCTTTGCTCAGACAGCACTTGTTGTCTTAAATTCCCATAGATTCCCTTTTATTTGCACCCCCCACTGCTTTATCTTCTGCCTGAACGTCAGGAGAGGACAGATTTTCCCCTGCTACTCCCATATGGGAGCCCCCAGTTTCCCCAGTGTCACAAGCTCTGGCAGCCAGGCCTTGTGCAACAGCATGTCCTGTTATTCCCAATCTGCACTTTGGAAATGTTTGGGCTTTGCACAGTGTGGAGTGTGATGCAAATGACAGTGGCTTGGTCTCTGTCAGCTCAACAATAGCAGCCAAAAGGATAAAACCACTCAAGCTGCCTCTCCCAGCCCCCTCTCCACCCGGGAGGCTGCTCAGGATGTAGCGTTGGGGACGAACAGAAGCAAATTCATGCATCCATCTCTCGTGCTGAGTGGCTCCTGCCAAAAGCAAACAAGTAATTAAAATCTAGTTAAAATTCTGTTTCCTCTGGTACGTGCAGAATTTAGGATTGATGACTGAACTGATCAAAAAAAAAAAAAAGTAAATAAAAAGGGTCTGACTCTTCAAGCTCTTGGAAAGCAAATGTCATTGTCCCTTCCTCACTACAGCTGGTTTGTCACACCCCCAGCTTCCCTGTGGGTCTGGGAGGTGTTTCTGCCAGTGCTTCTTGACTGGGATTGTTATCAAGTTGGGGGATTGAGCACTGTGCTATTTTAGGAAGGAAATCCTTCCCTGTGAGGCTGGGGAGGCCCTGGCACAGGTTGCCCAGGGAAGCTGTGGCTGTCCCAGCCCTGGAAGTGTCCAAGGCCAGGTTGGAACAACCTGGGACAGTGGAAGGTGTCCCTGCCCATGGCAGGGAGTGGGACTGGATGAGCTTTAAGGTCCTTCCAACCCAAACCATTGTGAGATAATGTGATTCTGTGCATGTCCTGCCTTGGATTTGCACCGTAATCTTCAGCAAGTGTGATAAAGCATCATTCCCTGACCAGCTTTCCTCCCTCCAGAGGAAACACAGGAATATTGGTGCAGGGTTTGCACAGGCTCTGCTCTAGATGTGCAAGGCATTTGCTGCTGCCTCAGGGAGCTCTACAGGAACGTGTCTGACACATCTCTTTAGGGTGGAAGTTCCTCAGGGCAGGGAGCATCTGCTGCTTGTGCTGGTACCAAGTAACACAGCACAGCCCCGCTCCAGCCTGCAGGGCTTCACCAAACTGAGCAGGATTAGTAATTACAGACTTCAGAACCGTTTGGAAAATAATACCCTGCCTTGGTCAGGTGCCTGATAAAGGGCCCCAGTTAGGATTTGAGAAAGGGAACTGCCCAGTGACCCAGGCAGCTCTTTGTCCAGCCCTTCCCTGCTCAGCTCCAGGAGAGTGTCTGAGAGCTGCGTGGCAATTAACTCATCAAACCGGTAAATATTTGTCTAACAAGATAGTTAATTGCTCTGGTTTTCCTTTAAGGATGTGGTTTGCAGAGCAGCCCCATCTGCTTCCATCCCCCCCCCCTTCCCCATCCCAAAAACCACCTCTGCAGTGTCAAAAACTGCAGCTGATGTATGTTAATCACGGCTCAGATCAGATGTAGCCTAATAAATAACCACAAATGAGTTTCTCTCTTGCTGAGGAGTTGTCTCCACGCCCTGGTCTCCTCCCAATGTGCTGACATTTTATTTTAATTCCCATCCAACTCCAGTGGCAAGTTGATTTCTCGCCCCTTTCTCCTCCCCACGCCGCCAACCCAACCACCACAGTGCCTGTGCCTCTCATCACACATAACCAAATATGGCAGCTTTAAACAGGGCTGTCATTTTTCTCAATTTCACTTGTTGTGATATAATCAAGTATGGATTTCTGACACAGGAACTCTTTTTAACAGGCTTTCTGACTTGCAGGCTGCTCGGAGAAAAGGCTTGTTTGGTTTCATTAGGTTCCCACTCTCAGCCAGTGGGACGTGTGGGTGGCAGGAGGGGCCCTGAGCAGTCACTGGGCTTGGCAGAGGGCTGAAATCAGGTGGCCAGGGCCATTTCTGCACAGAGGGATAAGTCAGGTCTGTTTGTAGCATGTGTTGCTCACATACCTGCCTCTGTAGCAGGGAAGGAGGGATTAGACACAATTCTGGCTCATCAGCCTTGAAAGTCCTCACTGAGCACCCCCCTCAAGATGAGGAAATGTAGATTTGGGGAGTACACTGGAATAGCTGGACTGAGCACAAATCAGCCTTTCTGCCTTTCCAGGCTGAGTGTTCTTGCTTTCCTTCTGACTTCCAGAGGCAGCAGAGAGTCCTCTTGCCTGCCTTTTTTAGGGATAAACATCGATGAGAAATGACGTGGGTAGGACTGACTGTTTCTGCAAGAGGAAATGGGGCACTTGGGTCCCTTCAGACACTGCTTGCAGGGCAGGGAGTCATTAGATCTCTTAGAGACTTGACCACAGACAAATCCAAGCTCTTCCCAAATGTCCTGCTCATCCAGGCTCTTTGGTCACCAGTATGTTCCCAGAAAACTGCTTCTCTACAGGCTGAAAGCAAAGCCTTCCAATAACGACCCAGGAGGGTAAATGAACCTCTCCTGCTTCCATCTGAGGGTTTGGAGGAGGCCTTCATCAATTATTGGGCATTTTGAACATGTCTATTCCAGGAAAAATAGCTCTTCCAATTAACTGAGCTGTATTGGGACCGGCTAAAAATATCTGACAGGCTCCAGATATTGTCATTCCCATCTTCAAAACAGACAGATAAGAAGAAGAGAGAGTTTGTGCCCTCCGTGGGAACAGAATATCTTTATTCTTATCCACAACTGTGAATGAAAGGAATATGTAGCAGCAGCCTGAAAATGACTGTAGCTGAAAAGAACCAGAAGTACTACTACTGTAAAGTCACAGGAGAGATTCACTGCCAAGCTGGAGACTTAAAGCTTCCAACGCAATTTCCTTAATGAGAGTAATTTATTGACAAACTGCCCCAGAAATATAAAGAAGACATCAAGGCCTTAATTGCAGGAAAGGAACTTTGTTACAGGAGCATCTCACGAGGGAGCCTCAGCCAAGGCAATGCCAGTGCCTGCGAGTTTCCTGCCAGTTCTGGGATGCCAGGGAGGATTAAGCTGCCTGGAATGATATTCTGCAGCTTGCTCAGCGAGGGCAGCTGGTGCCCTTCACAGCTAGAGGCTCCTATTGCCTCGTCTCATTCCTGAATGTGTAAAAACCTGTGGAAAAAAAGAGTTACCTGAGCCAGTTTAGCTCTAGGTGAAGAAGGGAACCAGGGACGTCCAGGAGAGCAGTGAAGAGAAGAGCTTTGGTTTCCTGTTGGCATCGAGAAATCCCTGATCCTCTGGATGATGGATCAGTGAGAAGTGCAGAGAGAACACACCTTGGCACCTGCAGAGCTGTGGGATGGTCTCACCTCTCTGAACTGAGAGGAGCAAAGGATGTCACTGGACGTGGGAGCCCCTCAGGGATTCTGAGGGTGTAGTTTCCAGCAGTATCTCTGGCTCTGAAAGCCCTTGGCTTGGGTGCAGCTGCTGGAAAAGCAGCGGGAACCGACCAAAAAAAAGGAAAGGACAAAAGAACATATTATATTTGATTGTTCCTCTCCTGCTGTGCTGTGGTGGGTCTTTACTTCGTGCAGGGCAGGGTTTGCTGCAGAAGGTTTCTGAGGTGTTACAGTCCCAGCTGGTGACTGGAGCAGAGGATCTCACAAGTCTCCTGGATATTTTTAGGAGAGGAAGATTTTTCTGTGCAACAACTGTTGCCTTTCCTAGGAACAACTTAAGAGCCTCCAGAAGAAGTACCAAGACCTTGTGAAATCCGGGTTTTGCATAAGGAACAGAAATACTTCAGTAGTAAAACAGTGAGTTTGGATGGAAATGGAATTTAAAGCGCTGGTCTGGGGCTGGGGAAGGAGAAAAGAATTATTTACCACCCTTGGATTAAGCACAGCTCCAAAATATCAGGACTCTGGGTTTGCTACAGCAAGGGAGGTTGGGTGTTAATTATTACCAGCTCTGATTAGTTTATGTGATGCCACAGATGGGCAGGTAGGGCAGTGGATCAGGGAAAGAACAAGGCTTCTGTGTGTCAAAGATGATCTTTTTGTGTAGAGTGAGCAACCTACAGCAGAGCAGTGCTGGGAAGCAGCTGCTGGAGCTGCGCTGAGCAAACAGAGAGAGACATTTTCAGCACACAACAAAGAAGTGCCAGTAAGAAACACACTGACAGCCTGGCCAAGATGTGATAAAAGGCTGTTTCCACTCTGACTTTACAGTAAAAGCCTTCGCAGAGCTCTGACTCGTGGGAAGCCTCCCTGTTACAGGTGCCTGGGGGAACTGTGGAGCTGGTTTAGTGATGCCAGCACTGACTTTGTGGCTTGGGGCAGGAGATACAGGTTCAAATACACTCACCAGAATGGGAGGTGTTCAGCTTTTGAGAAACTGCTCCTAGAAATTAATCCTGCCCTTGAACAAATGGTGCTGCCATTTGACATGATTTCAGTGGTGGCAGCGTCCTTGTGAAAATTTAAAACACTTTGAGAGAAGATCAACCTGCTTTTTGTAGCAGCGAGGTCTTATTTTTCAAGGAAAGGTGGTTTGCTGAGAAAAAAAAAACCAAAAAACAACAGGAAGTTCTGACGCATCCTGGAGATAAAAATATCCTGTTCCCTGAGATAAAAGTAATAATTTCATTGGGTGTTTTTTTTTAACAAAGAAATAACGTTTAAAGGCTCACCCACTTCTGAGCTCAGATGTGCTCTCCCAGACCCTGGAAGGCTTTTCCAAAGCCCCATTTATGCCCCTTGTCCCATTTATCCCCCATCTCCCCTTTCTCCCCCTCGTCCCACTCAGCATCAGTGCAGGTGCATTTCCTTCTGCCGCTTCAGAACGGACCATTTACCCTGCAGAGGCACCATCAGGCCAAACCTCCCTTTGTGTTTCCATTCCAGGGCCGCAAACCCGGCTACTTTTCCTTCCTGGATCCCTTTTCTCCCGGAGTGTGGCTCTTCATGCTGCTCGCCTACCTGGCCGTCAGCTGCGTCCTCTTCCTGGTGGCTCGGTAATGTCGCGGTTGCCTTTCCCTTCCTCGCGGTGCCATCTAGCGTCACACTGCCACACCCGGGGGGACACGGGGACACCCGCTGGCCCCAGACACCAGCATGGACTGGGATAGAAGAATCCCAGCCCTCTGCCCGCTGGGGAATGTGTGGTGTCACCACCACGCCCTGATGCCTGGGGTGGGGCATTGGTGTGCCGGCCATTCGGGATGCGCTTGGTGCCCAAATCTGCGTGGGAAGGGTGGCAGGAGGTCTGGCAGTGGTGTTGGTAGCCCTGCAGATGCTCCCTGTAGAGTGCTTTTTGCCCCTTGTCCCGAGCAGGGAGGGTGGAGGTTGGCAGGAACCCACAAACCCGTCCGGAGACGTTAACACAAATTCCACGAGTGATGTTTGGCTCCTCTGGCCCTGTACAAAACCCAGCGAGTGTGGAGGGGAAGAAAGTTCATTAATATCCTTTCAGCAGCCTCTTGGTTGATGTGCAGAGCCTCCCTTGGCAGCTCTCAGTTCCATTCCCCTATGACTAATTTAAGTCAGCCTTAAAATACATCTCTGAGTGCCTGCCTGCAGCGTCTCCCATCGAGGCCCAAGGTCTGAGCTCTGCTGCTGTTTCCCCCTGACCTCCCAACAAGCTGCTTATTGTTGGTGGTGTAGATGGGCTCTTACAGGCAGGGTTGAGCTGAGTCCTGGCACTGTGCTCCTAAGATGTGCTCGGGGCTTGAGGGCCCTTTCGGGACGCTCTTTAATACCCAATTCTCATTCCACAGATTGGAACTGTGCTGTCACTTGGTCCCCGAGCATGGCTAAAGTTGTCATCCTGACAGGGCTTTAATGGGTTCTTGGAATGCTTTTACAGCCTCAGAAACGCAGTTCTGAGGAAACCATTGAATAATGCAGCCTGATGCTCTCTGCAGACCGAGAGCTGGTGCCTCTTTAGCCCCTTCCTCATGTTTTAAACATGACCCTCCAAGAAAGGTGCCTTTACCCAGCTTCCCACTGGAGATGGAGGTCTGGCTGCTGCTCTCTGCCTTGCTCAGCTGTAAGGAGCTTTTGACCCAGTGAATTGCAGGGACTCTCTCCGAGCAGAGGGTTTGACTGCCAGTGCTTGATCCATCATGGAAAGTCTGCAGGAAATAACCTCCCTGGCATCACAGCGAGGCAGGAGACGCAGGAGCAAAAATAAACCCCTCATCTTGGTTAAATGCTGTGTGTGAGCTGGCAGAGCCCTGCAGCTTTTCTGGCAGTAGCCCCAAAATGACCCTCCCAGGCCTCAGCTTTGTTAACCATGGTAATATAATGAACTGCAGCGGAGAAATTAGGAAGACTTTCTTAGCAACCAGGGAGCTGAGGGTTGGAAACAGCAAAAAAAAAAAAAAAAAAAGAGAGTTAGGCTGCAGTCACTTCAGTGACAGGCTGTCAGCTATCACACATTCCCACCTCTGTCCTGTCTCTGAAGTACGTGATGCTTTGAAACACCAGCACTTGGCTTCCAACTAGAGCTTGCCAGGCCATTCAGACCTTCTCAGAGCAGCCATTTGCACCAGTGCAGTTATTTTTTTCTTTGGTGGTGTAATGCAGTCAGGTCTCACACACTTCACTTTTGAACTCCCCATCAGTGCTCGTGCTCCAGCAGGGAGCCCAGCCAAGGCTGTTTGAGTTCAATTTCCCATCAAGTCCGTGCACACGTGGAATTATTGCTGCGGTGTGAGTTTGCTCACAGGGCTGCAAAATCTGCCTCCTTGCAGCCTCCCCACGGCCCATGGCCAGATTTTCAGCTCAGCAGAGCCTCTCTGCTGAAGTTTTTGCAAATCTCTACAAGAAAGCCTCCTGGCTTCTTGAGTCTTAGAGCAAACATTTCACACAGCTCTGAGCCCTGGGCATCAACTTAACAGCAAAGTGCTTCCTGCTCAGAAAACTCTGCCTCCAGGAGAGTTAGAGCTTCACAGCTTTTCTTTTTTCTTTTTCTTTTTTTTTTTTTTTTTTTTTTGGCTTCTTCTCTCCCAAATGTCCCATTTCCCGGTGAATTACCTGAGTTACCTGTTTCCTGTCCTTTTAGGTTGACACCATACGAGTGGTACAGCCCCCACCCCTGCTCCCAAGGCCGCTGCAATCTCCTGGTGAACCAGTACTCTCTGGGCAACAGCCTGTGGTTTCCAGTGGGGGGGTTCATGCAGCAAGGCTCCACCATTGCCCCCCAGGCACTGTCCACGCGCTGCGTCAGTGGAGTCTGGTAAGGAGGGCACCCTCCCCTCCAGGAAGGCTTCTCAGGGGCAGAAGTGGGTGGAAGAGGAATTTCTGCATGGAAGGAGGGTTGTTAAACACTGGAAGGGGGTGCCCAGGGAGGTGGTGGAGTCCCTTTCCCCAGAGGTGTTGCAGGAATGAACTCAGTGCTCTGGTCTGGCTGACATGGTGGTGGTTGGACAAAGGTTGGGGGGCTTTTGCAGCCTCGCTGATGCTGTGGTTTCGAGAGGTTGGAGGGCAGATTCGGTCCACAGGGAAACCTCAGGTCATCATCTTCTCTCCCCCTCTCCCTAGGTGGGCATTCACCCTGATCATCATCTCCTCCTACACGGCCAACCTGGCCGCCTTCCTCACGGTGCAGCGCATGGACGTGCCCATCGAGTCCGTGGATGACCTGGCTGACCAGACCACCATCGAGTACGGCACCATCCACGGCGGCTCCAGCATGACCTTCTTCCAAGTAAACCCCGTTCTTTGGCTCAGTGGGGTAGGGAGTGCAGAGGGCACCCTTCGGTCAGATTTGGGTGTCCCTCCAGCCTCTCGTGCCCGTTTCATGCCAGTTGCTGGCACGGAGGGGGTTTCTGGAGATATCCCTGTCTGCTTGGCTGCACAGGAGTGGGCTAGACCCACAGTGTGGGAAGATGGGGAGAATGGTGGGAGAGGGAGGGAAATTTCACAAGGGAGTCAAATTTTCATAGGTCTCCACGTAGTTTTGATGTGATCTTAGCTTTTACCTGAGAGTCCTTTGCCAAGCCTGGGCAGGCTCACAGTTGTCACAGTGCTGAAATCCACGTGTGGTCAGTGGCACTGAAAATAAATAAGTCAAATGTATGCAAAGTTATGTGGGCCATTTAGCCCAATTTAATTTTTATCTTCCCTGCTCTATTCAGAAGGGAAATAAATGAGTGAATCTTTTCTGCAGCGCTCTGAATGCACAAAGAACTGCTTGAGGATTATTTATTTATTACTTGTTGAAATTCCTAAAGGAGAGAGAAAACTCGTCTCACTTTTTTTACACACCCCCTCCCCCCAAGTCTGAACTGAATTTGGAAGCCTGAGAAATCTCTGGAGTGGGCCTGAGCTTTTCAGTCCAACTTTACACTCTTCAGGGGGTTGGCAAGAAGCTACTTTTAAGCCGAGCCTTGCATCTGAAATGAGCTGAACAGAGCCCAAGTGACCCAAGGTGGTTGTGTACGAGGTGCTTGCTTAAGGAAGGCTTTCAAGTTTAAACCCCTGACTGTGGCTCTGCGCTGCCTGGTGGGTGCTGGAGTCCCTGGGATCAGAGAGAAATTAGGAAGAGATGTTTTTGTACCATTTGCAGGGCTTTAGGCTGTGTTTGGATCCATTTTCCCCTGGTGGAAGGATGGTGGGTCAAAGCAGCGATGGATTCCACAGTCTGCCTTCATCACCCCTCCTTTCCCGGGTGCATGAGATGTGTGTCCACTGCTGAAGCTCCTTGCCTTGTAACCTGTCCTGGCACCATTTCCCCTGACAAAACCACACAGGTTTAGTGTTTGAAAGTGCAGTGAATTGGGGACAAACACCCCCCCCGCTCTTCTGTCTCTAGCCCAAGTGACTGCACCCAGAGGACAGAGCTGGACAGATGAGGACAGGAACTAGGTCAGCAGCAGATTCCCTAAAGCTCTCTAGCATTGCTTACCAGCCACAGAAAATGAGCCCTTGACAGTGTGAAATTCCTAATGTAGACCAGAGCATGTTTATATTCAGTCTTTGTGCAAGCAGGTTCCACTCTTCGCTCAGTACAGGCAAGAGAGATTAACCATAGGTGGCTTTCTCTGGATCAAACCAAAGTCTGAGGGGCTGGGTGAGCTTTAGTTTATTGTAATCAGTGAAAAGACTCCAGTTCTCTTCAGCAGGTGCTTTGATTTGCCTCACAAGGGGATGGACCAAAATCTGGATTCAGGGGGCAATAAACTCCAAAGAGCTTTAGTTCTGCTCTCAGTGCCCTCCTTGGGGTGCTGGTGTCTGGCTTTGACACTGGATAATTGTTAGGACAGGGTTCCAGTGATAATCAGTAGGGTCTGACTTCTTCAGAGGTTTAAATCAGACAAGCACAAGCTGTTTCTTCTGTCTTTTTTTTTTTTTTTTTTTGTCTGTTACAGAAACAATGAATTTTTCTAAAGCTGAATTTATGCAAAGAGCTTTGTGGCCTTAGGCATGCCTTCCATGCCCGGCTTTGCCAGCAAAGTCTCAAACCCACCAAGATATCTGGGCCTCTAAATCTTATTGGTATAAATGAAGGTTAGAGTCTCAAACCCACCAAGATGTTTGGGCCTCTAAACCTCGTTGATACAAATGCAGGTCAGGCATCTAAAGCCTTTCTGAACCCGGCACCAGCTCTGCTCTGACTCCTCTCCCCTCTTCACAGCGGGCGTCTAACTCGGGGTTTAATTCAGGGCAATTAACGCTCCTCCTCCCTCAGCTGCTCCTGGCTCCTTCCTCCTGCAGAACTCCCGCTACCAGACCTACCAGAGGATGTGGAACTACATGTACTCCAAGCAGCCCAGCGTCTTCGTGAAGAGCACGGAGGAGGGGATCGCGCGCGTGCTGAACTCCAACTACGCCTTCCTGCTGGAGTCCACCATGAACGAGTATTACCGTCAGCGCAATTGCAACCTCACGCAGGTCGGGGGCCTTCTGGACACCAAGGGCTACGGGATTGGCATGCCCGTCGGTAGGCAGTGAAGACAAATTCTAGTCCTTCTCAGCTGTCGGCAGAGGACCGGAGCGTTTGAAAGGCTGAACCGGCTCCGAAGCCACCGCCGCGTCTCATGGCTCTGCCCAGGGGTGGTTTTGGTTTTTTTATTTTTGGGAGGGGGTCTCAGCTGCCCAAGGTGCCCACTCGGACCCTGCTCTGGGCCAGAGCCACGTGACACGCGGCTGCGGGCTCTCGAGATACGATTCACTGTGAAAGAATGTCTCGGAATTGCTGCTTATTTTCTGCATATATGCTCTCTGCTGATTGTCTCCTTCCCGAACCAGTGTCTGTGCCTCGTTTTGTGCTCCCTGTTTTAATCCCAGAAGTGCTGTGAAAGTAATGCTGCTGTAAAACTGGCGTAGCTTTTAGCACGAGTTTCTTAACAGCTGGTGGTTCTTAAAACTCCAGGACAGAGAATTGGGCAATTCAGTGGCTATCTCAGGTAATAATCAGGTTTAACAAACGCAGGGGGTTTGTGTTTCACCATGTGAGAGCCAGCAAGAGAACATCATCTCCCAGGGCAGCATGGAAAAACGATGTAGTAGTTGTTCCTGATCTTTCCTCCAGCCCTGACCTTTAAGCACTGGCTCTTAGCAACACAAAGTTAAGGTGAATTACATAAGGCCCATCACACGAACGGTCCCTCCAGTTTAGGTAACGTGGGTAAGCCTGCAGATCCACGGTAACCCGACTGTGAGCACAAGCCCTCTCTCTCAGGGCTAAATCTGTTCTGACATTGTCTTGTTAAACAGTGAAACTGTAGCAGATAAGAGGAGCAGAAAGCTGCTCGCTGGGACAATAGTGCAGAGTTACTGGGAGAAATGGGGTCTTTCCCACGGCCCTTCCTCGGGATCTCTGGTAGCAGACGCCAGGATGCAGTAGAGCTTGGCACCAAGCACGGAAGTGAGCAGCTCTACCATGAACATTTGGGCTTGGATGATCTTTGGGGTCCCTTTCCAACTCAGGACATTCTGTGCTATGACCAGCTGGAGGCAAGGGGTGCTAGAGCAGGGTCGAAGTTGTAGGTGGAATGACAAGAGAGGGACCCTGCTGTGTGATGTTGAACTGCCCATTCAGTCCCTGCAGCCAAAGCTCCACTTGAATTGAACCTCCTTAATTGGTCTCAGCCCTGGCTTTTGGTGGGCAAGCCAAACTCCCTCCTGCAAGGGACATTAACCACGTTTCCGTGGCTCACATGGAGTGATGTCCCCTCCAAACCCTTGAGGAACGAGCTGTTTGTAGCTGAGCACACTGGTGGGGAGGAAGAGTGGGGAGGAAGGCTGGCCCAGGGGGTGCCCTACCACGTCCCTCTTGGTGTTGCAGGCTCTGTGTTCCGAGATGAGTTCGACCTGGCCATCCTCCAGCTGCAGGAGAACAACCGCCTGGAAATCCTCAAGCGCAAGTGGTGGGAAGGAGGGAAGTGCCCCAAAGAGGAGGACCACAGAGCCAAAGGTGAGCCACACCACTCCACGCTAGTGTTTCTGCCTGAGAATTACTTTTTCCCCTTCTTCTGACCCGAGATTCCTTCCCTCCCCAGCTCAAGGAGAAAGCCAAACAGCTCTGCTGTGCCTCACGCTGTGTGTTTTTGCCTGGGGCAGAGAGAGCGGGAACAACCAAATGACAAATATTGGAGGCATATGGAGGGTAAATTAGCTCCTAATGAATGCCTGGGAAAATGGATGACTAGAGGGATCAGACCAAAATCCTGGGTTCCTTGAAGGGAGATGGATCTCCACCCCGGGCCTGCTGGTTAATGGCTCCAAGTGAAAGCGTCTTTTAAACAGCCAGGGGAAGGGACACAAGGACTTTATTAGTACATCTGTAAACTGAGGAGCAAATTCTTTTGGGTAATGCTATGCAAATTGCCATAAAAGCTACCACATTAGGCTGATGTCCCAGTGTGAGAGCAGTTGCCAGCTTAACACAGTTGCTGCATTTTTTAGTTCTGGCCGTCGCCCTCTTCTCAGCAAGTGTTTTCTGGGAGGCCAGCAGGTCCCCCAGTTAAAAGGATGATCTTCTGACCTTTCTGAGGGCACAGACAGAGAGCCAAACTGGGTCTGTGGTAGCTATTTTGGTTTTATTGACCTTGCAGCAGCCGTAGGTGTGTCTGTGCAGTTCATGGATGGGACCCCACGGGGCTGTGAGCTGATGCTCATTTTGGGGCAGTGCTGCACTACAGACAACCCCAGCTATTAATCTCAAGGCTGAAGGAGTTGGCCCAGTGTAAGACATCAGGTTATAGCTATTACAGAAGTTACTGTGAAGGCAAGCAGGCACATGGGACACTTCTCCTCCATGGACTGTGCAAAAAGCAGCTCTGAAGTGGAATCTAGGCTGTGGGCTCTTTTGGGATGGCTTTGGAAGGGGGCAGCTGGGAAGCTGGACTGTTTCTGGCACTGCTTGGTGTGTTCTGTGACCCTGGACAAGTTTTTCTCCTGGTTTGTTCCCCCTGTGGTGTGAGTTTGGGAAGGGAGGAATGCTGTAGCCTGCTGGCACGTGTATATGGAAGAAGGAATTACCTGGGAAGGGGTGCCTGAGGTAACACTCAGGCAGAATGGCAGAAGCATGTAGAGATTGCTGCCGGCCCTAAATTCAAATCTGTGAGCTGCTGGGAGGAGAGGATGGCCTTTATCTTGGGTCTAAATTGTGATTATGGGCTGTGTTTTCTGCCTTGCAATTGCTGTGAAAGCATCTCTGCAAAGGGCTGATTTACAGAGTCACTGGACTGCTCTGGAGGTGATGCCAAAAGAATGAAGGAGGAGGAGGGAGAAATGTGACCTCCCAAGTTTTAGAACAAAGCAGGTCAGCGATTTACAAGGATTTTGGTGAGATTTTATGTCTAAAAGCCACGCCGAGATTAAGTCAATAAATCATTGATTCTTACACTTTGATTTAATGCTACAGAAAGGGAGAGGAAGATTTTTATAGATGTTCTTGTTGAGTAATGGCCTCAGTCAACCCAGTGCAAAGCACCACATGCTTTTTAGTAATCAATCCAATCAGGGGCCCAAACCCAACAAGAACAGGAGAAAAGAGCCAGATCCTGGACAGCAAAAGCTGGGGCCAGCACTGCTCCCCAGCTCATCTCACAGTCCAGCTCTGCAGGGCCAGAGGAGGCACAGGCTGCAGTTCTGGGGCCAAGAGTTGTCCAAAGCTCGGTCCAGATTCCTGAGGGCTGGGTTTTCCATGCAGCTGGTGAACTTTCTGGATTGCAAGCTGTGGTAGTTATCCCATTGTAAGCAAGTTGTCCAAGGGAGGTGAGTCCCATGGGAGGGGCTGTTTCCTCCTAGAGAGCACCCAACCCATAACCAAGCACCCCTTGGTGGCAGGGATCCCATTCTCTCACCCTATAGTGTGGAAGTGTTGGGTCCTGATCTGCTTTGGACCCTCTCCTTGCTGCTGCAGTACAAGCAGCTGCCATCACTTCCCCCCAGCACTTTGTAATGCAATCAAAGGAGCTTTTCTTGGTGCCAGCTTCCTTTAAAGCCCTTTCTTGTCTTCTTCATCTCTGTTTCTTTAACAACCTTGCTCATCTCCCTTTGAGAAGTTCAAAGCAAGTGGAGCTGGGTGAATAATTTGCAGGGATTAATGTGCCCGATTGATCTCGCAATTTTTCCCTCTTGTTTTCAGTTTGTCCACAAATTGCTTTGTGCTTCCCTTCAATGTACTTGCTGTTTATCTGCAAAATCATCATTTCTGAGAAGGGATCTTCGATCCTGCAGTTATTGCAAGTCATTCCCTTTGCCATCTGAGTCATGAGGGGAGCTATTAATAGGACGGTGCTGGCTCTGTGGTTTTGGTCCCTGGCTGGGTATCTTCAATGCCAACAAAACAGCAAAACTTGGGATTTCTGTGCAGTGATACCTGTACAATTTATGTCGTGTCTGCCTCTCCACATGGCCCCTCCTGCTTTGTTTCAGGCCTGGGGATGGAGAATATTGGTGGAATCTTCGTGGTGCTCATCTGCGGCTTGATCGTAGCAATTTTCATGGCAATGCTGGAATTTCTGTGGAGCCTTCGTCACTCTGAGCAGTCAGAGGTAGGACCTGAAAGTGGCCTGAGGGGGTAGTGTGTGTTTATTGCCATCTGTGGGGTGCTCAGTGGGGTGCTCTGGAGCCTCAATCAGGCTGAGGAGCATTCCCAGCCTCGACACCCCAAACGCAGGAGCAGGTTTGGTCCTTTGGGCAGGGTCTAAAATCCACGAGCTTCTCGTGTGCTCCTACTAAGAGAGGGGCTGTAGGGGATGCTCCAGGGGCTTCTGAAGGGTCCAGGGAAGTGTATTACATCCTGGAGATGGGATCACCTGAGGATTTCTACCTGCAGTGGGTTTGGGTGTTGTGTTGATATGGGGATCCAGAACACATGAGGGTCTCTGATGAGAGACAGAATCTGTTGGGTTAAATCAATGTAAAAGCCCAAGTGTTGATGTTGAAAGCCAGTGGCACCAAGTTGGTAACCATGTGGCATCAGAAACATATTACAGAATCATAGACTGGCCTGGGCTGGGAGGGACCTTAAAGATCACCCAATTCCAGCCCCTGCCACAGGCAGGGACAACTTCCCCTAGACCTGAGGTGGCTCAGGGCACCATCCAACCTGGCCTTGGACACTTCCAGGGATGGGGCAGCCTCAGTTTCCCTGGGCAACCTGTGCCAGGGCCTCACCCCTCATCCCTCCAGGACTCAGAGCAGACGCAGCCCCGCGTGTCTCTCAGCTCCCCCGGGTGAGCAGCACACCTCGTGTGTCCCCCCCAGGTGTCAGTGTGCCAAGAGATGGTGACGGAGCTGCGCAACATCATCCTGTGCAAGGACAGTTTCCACCCCCGCCGGAGGCGAGGGGGCCCGGTACGGACTCGCCCCGTTATCCCGGAGGAGCGCCGAGCCCGCAGCACGACCACGCTCAGCAACGGGAAGCTGTGCAGCGGCGGGGAGCCAGACCCCCTGGCACAGAGACTGGCACAAGAAGCCGCCCTGGTCGCCCGGGGGTGCACCCACATCCGGGTGTGCCCCGAGTGCCGCCGCTTCCAGGGGCTGCGGGCGCGGCCGGCCGCGGGATCCCCCGCGCGCAGCGAGGAGAGCCTGGAGTGGGACAAGGCCACCAACAGCAGCGAGCCCGAGTAACGCCGGGGGAGGGCTGGGGGCACAGGGGCGGGGGCGAGAGGGTCCTGTTCCATTTTACAGAACACGGACTTGTACAATGTCAACTCGTTTTTAAATCACTGGCGGTTACCCGGCTTCTCCAGGGCGAGGCCGGAGGGTTTCGGTGTCCCCCGGGTTGGGGGGGGACACGCGGCCGGCTGGAGCCTGGTGTGGCAGGAGAGGGGTCCTCAGGCTGGTCTCCAGTGGTTGTCTCCGTGCCACTGAAGGAGAAAGGACGTGGTGGTAAATGGTGTAGCGGGTATTGCCTCCCCCCCGGGGTGGGTGGGCAAGAGCGGTTCTTGGAGCTTCTCCACTCCCCAGGTCAGGAGAAAGGGACACCGGCGCTGTCTCTCCACCGAACAGAATTACCAGGGCGTGTTCTCAAAGGGCCGGGGGGGGGAGGGAGTTTTTATTTGATTCGGACAAGGGATGGGAAGGGAGGAGTCGTTGTTTTGTTTCGGTTTAATTTGGGCATGTCAGGACCTAAAGTCTCCGAGGCACCAGGTTTCAGGTGCTGAGCTCTTCTTCCTTTTCAGAGCGTTGGCAGGTGGACTGAAGGAGGAAGGATGGGATGGGATGGGACATGCTCCCAGTGAGAAGCAGCATTTGCTGAAAGTTCATCTGAGGAGTTGTTGAAATTACATATATATATAAATATATCTATACATAGATATATATATATTAAAATGCCAAAAAAAAAAAAAAAAAAAAGGAAAAACCAACCAACGAACACAGTGAACTCAAAGAGGCCTTGAAACGCCTGGAATTTCAGGGGTTCTGTGTCTTTTGTTTCGTTCTGGGGTTACCTTTTGTTTTTTAATTCCTTTCTGTTTTTGGGATGAGGGTGGGGGAGCCTTTTGAGGAAGGTGAGGTGGGAGCAGGCGAGAGTGGGGAGCACTGGGTGGGGGGGGGGGGGAGCTGCCCTTCCCCACCAGTGGAGGAAGGTGGTGTTGGTACCCCCAAAGCGTCCACAGCCCGTGCCCTGCACCCTCCTGACGTGGCTCTGAGCTCTGCCCCAGGCTCAGGAGCTCCCCATATGACCTACAGAGCACCCTCAGCCTCGAGGGTGACTGACAGTCCTTGTCCAGCAGCCACACAGCATTTGGGAAAACCATTAGCCCGGGATCTCGTGTAAGGAAAATATTTACTTCCCTAAGAAACAGCAGCAGCTCACCCTCTGCTTGCAACAGACGTGGGGGTTTACACTGACGAATTTAATTTTCTGATTGAAAAACAAATTCTATGCAATTTCTGATTGTAAAAGGAAAGGGACGACAATGGAGAGGGGCAGGGGAGATAAAGCCTTGAGTGAAGGTACATCCTGTTCTTGAATTGTTTTCTTTTCTTTTTGTCTTGAATGTACTGAAATAAAAGATGTCCTTGTATAATTATGCTTTTTTTTTTCTTCCTTTTTTTTTTTTTTTTCTTTTTTTTTTTTTTTGCATCCTTCCCAGACCTGCTGGTTGGATCTCAGTTGACCAGGGGATGAGGGTCAGGCACAGCAAGTCCAATGCAGGAGCCCATGTCCAGCAGATGTTCCTGAGGAGGGTGTGCAGGGGGATGGGGTGTGGTGATGGGCACAGGAGGGCTGTTCTGTTGTTTCCAGCAGGTTGTGAAAAGAAAAGGACGTTAAAACATGCAACAAGGAGGAGAGGATTTAGAGCTTGTTGTGCAGGATTTGTCACATGAGAGAGGTCCTTTCTAGCCTTCATCTCTAAATCCAGAGGATGTTCCCCTCTCCCTGACTAAACAGAGGTAATAAGGTAAGACCAACCCCCATCCCCAGAGCCCAGGAATCCAGAGCCAGGGGATGGGAGAGGCAGGGCCTCAGCTGAGGTGAAACTCTCAGTAAAATTCCATCTGCAGGGAGCCAGGTTGGGCTTTCAGAGCCCTGACAGCAGCACTGGGGACATCTGAATGTGCCTGTGTTGTGCTTAAGGGCCGACATGTTTTTACGAGCAGTGGAATATATTCATCAAAAAGAAGCTGCTTTTTAAAATTTATTTACAGATTAGCAGAAGAAAGGGCTCCATGAATCATTTATCAGACCTGATGTTTTTTTTTCACCCCTTCTACGCAGTGAATAAAGAGAAATCTTGACAGAGCCAGACATTATTCTGCATCTCCAAAGATCTCCCAGTCATCTGCTCAGACAGAGGATGTCAAGAAAAAAAATGATGGGAAACCACCTGGTATCTCAGTGTCTTTGCTTTTTATCTCTCCTCTTAGCTTGCCCCACCCACATGGTATTTTAGATCTGGGTCTGTATTTTAAGGAGATTTGTCACACGTCCCTTTTTTCCCTCTTCTCTCTTTTTTATTTATTTATTTATTTCTTAATGTTCAGAGGTTTTGCACTCAGAGCAGAAATGGAAGCTGCAGTAATTTAGATGCCTTTTGCAATGTCTCTGTGTCCGGTGTTTTCTGCTCCCTGGTAAATGCTCACAGGTTTCACACCCGAGGGAGCAGACGGCATTATTCACGGGCCCGTGCCCACATACATTTGTGTGCCCAGGTGGGTTTACATCTCACGTGTTCCCTCTCTCCCCAGTTTGATTCTCATCTTTGGAACTACAGTGGGGTCTCTTTTGCTCAGCCAGTCCCAATGCTAATGCAGTTCAAGATCTGGAGCGGTCTGCCGTGCAAAAAGGCACTTTCCCAGTATTGCTGTCTCCTGATAAAACCCGAGTAATTCTAGTAAGATATCTCTGCAAATTCCACTGGGAGCCAAAGATTAGATCAATTAAAATGTAATACTTTGCTTTATCCCTTCTAAGTGGTTTGTTTGAGGCTCCTGTAGCCCCCTCTGTTCGGGAGCCCGGCAGTGGGGCTGAGGGCTCACGTCTCTCCCTGTGGTGGCAGCCAATTCCCCAGCCCTGGCTCAGTCCACAGCAGTCTGGCAGCTTCCTAACTAAAAGGCCTGGAATCTCTCCCCCCATGTGCTAAAACCCCATGTTTGTGTTGTTTTTCCAGGCAGTTCCATTGATAAAAAGCTGTTTTCTCCCCGGAGGTTGCATGGGTGAAGGTATTAACGAGGCTTGGACTAGCCCGGGGGCATTTAGTGAGCTGAGTGGCACATAAAATAGAAAAGGGTTGTTGTGTGAACACAGGAGCCTGCAGGACCTTGGGAAGAGAGATGGTGAGCTGTAAATCATAAACTAGACACTCAGCCCTCGGTGATCCTGAGGCAGGAACCTTTTTAACTGCTGCAGATCCACAGAAATCCTCACTGCTCCTGCCCTGCCAAGTCCTCTTCTCTCCTTGAACCCCCAGTGCCTCACCAGGTAAGTGACCGAAGAGGTGGAGGAAGAGGCAAAGGGAATAGCCCTCGTTTTGCTTTGTGTTTTTGGCAGAGGTCCTGAGGAAGGATTTGGAAGGGGTCTGAGTCCTACATAAGCTGGTGGAGATCCCACCAGCACTGGGAACTGCAGCTGTGGGCACTGGGGTAGACACAGGAATGTGGGTAACTGGTTTTGGTGGTTCTGGGGTGACGACTCTGAATGGCAAAGACATTCCCTTGGGAAAAGGAAGGGACCTGTGGGTGAGTCTGCTTGGAGGAGGCTGGCTGGTGGTTAATATGAAAGAGCAAATAAGCAAAGATGGACTTTGGATGATTTGGGGGGTAGCTGTAAAGATCTGGCTATGAAAAGGTGGTGTGAGTGATCAAAGTCCCCTCATCAGCTCATTTAATTTAGCTCTGAAAGTAATTACCTGCAAGATAGAGCGTTTCTCTCTTCTACTTTGCTTGTGCATCCAGTGACGGTGATGAAATTCCTTGCAGTGACTTTGACCAGAGGGAAAGGGTAACTCTGCCCATCAGGAGGAGAGGGAGGCAAGGGAAACAACCCAGTGACCTAGAGGTGTATGTGGGGGCAGACCCAGGAAAAGGAACTGCAAACTGCCATTAGAAGTGGTAAGAAGTAAGTCTGGGCTCATATGTGACACTTGCAAGTCCACTGAGTATCTGCTAGTGAGGAGCTGCAGCTTGAACAGAGCAGGAGAGACAGCACAGTGTGGCCAAACGCCTGCTGAACAGAGGATAAAGCACCCACAGTTCCAGAAACCCCATCAGGGTCTGATGGCCACTAACTGATTGAAAATAGAGAGCTGGGCTCTTCTGGGCACAAAGTGCCACTGATGAATTCAGTATAAATAGGCTCCTCTGGAACTCGACACCGCGCTGGGAAAATCAGCCCTGGATCAGCTGCCTCGGACAATGGGCAGGTTTGTGCATCCTTCAGGGAGGGCTTTTTTTTTTCCCTCCCCTCCAAGGGGGAATCTGCTGTGCTCCATTTGAGTTATTAGTCTGGTTTTGTGGCAGGACTGCAGCATTTCATCCCAGAAAGCGTTCCAGGCGGCAGAGGAGGATCTGCAGCTGTCTGGGGGGGACGTGTGGCAGTCCATCACCAGCACAAAGGGCCACACAGCAGAGGCTCCCCGGGAGCTCTGCTGAGCCCAGATCACTGGGAAAACGAAGGAAGCTTAATTAACAAAAGGCTTTCTCCTCTGCTGTGTTTAGGTCTGCAGTTATCAGAGCGGTTCTGGCAGTTCTCAAAGACTGAAATGACAGTAGTTGGCTGTAAAAGAGATAACTGTCAGATTAGCTGGGACATATCTCTGCTGAGGTTTTCTATATCATACCTATCTTGAAGCATCTCCATGTATCAAAGGGACTAGTTGGCCATTTGCCTCCACAAAGTACCCTTTCCAACGTGATAAATAAGGCTCTGTTACAATGGAAAGACATAACATTTCTTGTTTCTTGACTCAGGCTGTTTTGGAATAGTGGTTTTTTGCACTTTGGTCAATATGTAGAGACTAATTTTTTCTGTTGTTTTCGGTGTCTTGTGTACTGAGTGAAGGGTGCAAGGGACAGAAAATGTGTGTTGGGGTGTAAAGGCAGGGATGCTGGCAAAGCTGGAGGGTGAAAATGCCACCAAGGCACAGCAGGGAGAACAGAAGATGCCGTCCTAGGACACTGCT